AGGCTTGTAAAACTTTAAATTTAGTTAGACTATTAAGGTATTAAAATAATGGCTAGTCTTGGGACCATTTCATAGCGTCTATTTTTTAATTATCTTTCGGATAAGCAAGGATTGGGAAATGCGCCGCGCATAGGGATAAAATAGCGTGACAGATAACAAATAAGTGTTTAAGAATTTTAGTCAAAATCGAGCGCTATGAAATGGTCCGAGACTTTTTCGTGACTCCTAATAATAACTTCCCATCGCATATTGTCCGTCTAATTACTGGCACTTTTGTATGTTGTTATCCATGTGGGCAGTATAAACTCAATGATTTCTATAAGTTATAATGTATGAATGAATCAAGTCATTTTAATCGTCACTGCTGTCTAATCCTAGCTATTTGAGGAAGGGATAGTTTGCGGCAGAATTTAAACGTTTTATCACAACACTCATGTAGTTATTGTAATGATCTTTCAAATTATATTTTAAATGTTCAAAATGTAGTTATTGGTTATTAGATCCAAGGTTAACAACCAGAAACACCCCTTTAACAATGTAAGTCTTTGTTCGATTTCTAGCTAAGGGGCTGACCTACCTGACCCTTAATAAAAGAATTTGTAACATTTAAAGACTCTAGCTCCTAATTATTACACTTGCATATTATTATTATTTATTAAATCTAGAATAGCTAATAATTTAATAAATTATTAACAGGCCCCTTAACGTGGGCAATAATATACGCTTTATAAATTATATAAACAAATTGCAGTCTATTTTTCCAATGTTGTTAAGTGTCTCTTTAGATCTGTTTTGGTTTTTCGTGGGAGTTCCCACATTTGTTGGTTGAGAATGCTCAACATAACATACATGATGCTTGACTGCTTTATTGATCCGGACAGGCACCGGGGGCAGACATCCCAACACCAGTGCGTTGGGACATAGTGTTGGTCTGCTTCAGGACGTGTTAGATCCTAGAGAGGCCGCCATCCCCTCTACTGCTTTAGCTCAGCGGCAGCATGAGCCCTGGTTTCCTGCCACATTGGTACCTCTGAAAGTACAGAAAAGTGGTGGATTTCGGGGTCCAGGATCCTCCCTCTTTATTCTTTACGGTGGTATTATTTCTCTGAGATGTTTGCTGAGTCTTTATTTTATGATCTTTCTAGTTTAGTTGGATAAATCCTGGAGAGCATCATTTTGTCCCCAAAGAAATTCGACTCTTCTAATGAATGCTTTTTGTGTGCTGCTTTTTGTTAACACTTCATCTAGATAGGAATGTGAGTCACTTGCATAAATTGAAAGGTAAACGATCTGTTGAGTATCTACATTTCAAGAAAACAAAAATTTCAACATGTGCACTAAGAAAGGACTTCGACTCAGCCCAAACTGCCGGGTGATGAGTGAACCGCTTGTGAAAGTAGGATTTCGTTATAGAACCAACCCTAGTACAACATTTGACCACCTGGATCAAACACAGAGAAAGGAACAATTTTATTATTAATTAGAGCACGCATAACAATTTTATATAGAACCTAGAAGTTTCATGTCTTGGTACCCACACGGCCACACCCGTCTGTAAGTAGACATGTAGCTACGTCTTGATAAAGGCCGTGGGGTCTTCATCAACATTCTCTCGAAATTGATTTTATAGTTGTTTCTGATAGAAGATTAAGATTAAGAAGGGAGTGATATTTATCAGCTACTTTTGGTCCCATGGAAAAATATTGTTCTTAGCCTAAATTATCGCTGGATGAGGGTAAAGGATACCATTCTCAGCAAAACACTTGTGTATTTGTTAATATTTTTGACTAGGGCTATTAATTCAGTTCAAGTTAGTAGCTGGGATGAATACTTGTGAATTGTGATATCTAGCTTCAGCACTGCCCTTGAAACAATCTTGTCTCAAATTTCTTTTTCTTAACATTGATGGTTCTGATTGAGTCGTGTATTATTATTGAATCTCATACTTTGATATTTTTTCCCGATCCATGACTCAAAGTGCCGAAGGCACAAAAGAGTCAAGGACAAGGGTTAGCGATCGAGGTTTTTTTTTGATATGGTAGCTTGCGACCGTACCTGCGTGCGAGCGTGCCTGCGAGCGTACGTGCCCTCGCGACTGTTATCGCCCACGTGACTACCTGCGCAAAGTTATTTTGCGCACAAATTTGAATTAAATAATTGTTGGCGCGCGGCGCTGAACTGACCAAGTACATTATTAATTTCACAATGTACATATCCCACTAGGCACTAATTGATAGCATACTATTATTATTTTGAGTTACTATTTTGTATTACTATTTTGTATTACTATTTTGCACAGATCCGTGTCGGGTGTCAGGTTGCATAAACAATAAGCATATGGTTACATAGAAATATACACGATTTTCAAATTCAATATGGAATTATATTAACTTGGTGGCGCTCGGCCTGTCACTCCGCTATATCTGCATGCTTATAAACAGTTAAAACTGGGATCTCCAGGTTGTTTGGAATATGATAAAATACGCCATCACGGATCGGGAAATTGAGCGGCCATCCACAAAAAAAGCGGCCGCATTTCTTGTTTCATACAAATTTCTAATTTTTTTAATAGACTCAGGGAAGACAGGTTCTAATGGAAATAAATAGTCCAATCACGTATTGACGTTTCTATGTCATACTCATATTCTCAAATCATTTGTGTTATAGAAGTATTGAAAGTATTACATTATTAACATCTGCTATTGGAACAAACTCCCCTCGGATGTCAAGAATTGTGGGACTGTGTTAAGTTTTAAATTAAGATTAGAGGCTTTTAAAAAAGAGACTATTTTAAACAGATCTGTAAATGATAGTCATTTTTGGTATGTTTCGGACGAAGTACTAGGAAAGATTGAGGGATTAAATTATGCTACTAATAAAGAGAAGCACAATGAATATCTTGTGTGTAATCCTCATGTTGCTAAAAAACGCTTTATCAACTTATATAGTAGTGGAAAGTATGTAAATTAGATTCATTTTAACATGGTTGTTTAGGCCAATAGATTTAAGATAATTTTTAAACTTTAGTAGCTATATTTTTGATGATGTGTGATGATGTTTGTGTCATTATATTTTGATTTGATTTGATTTAGTCACCTAGTCTAGAGAATAAATTTTTTTCCCTACTCTTGCCGAAAGCAAAAAGATCGTAGGGAATAAGTAATCGGGTTTAGATATATGAGGTGGCCCGATGGACCTGCGGTGACGACAAAAGTCTACTCCTTCGCAATATAGACCACTTCCCTATAATTAAGTGTATAGGAAGCGTCTGTTATGCTGCGCGCGACGCTAGCCATGTGTTAATTAATTACAGTGAAATTCCTCCTTCGCAAAGTTATTTTCCGCAATTTTCTGGATTCATTTATTGTTGGTGCGCTGCGCTGCATTGATGAAATAAATCGTCAATTTTTACCATGCACGAATCCCACTCATTTATAAAAAACATAGTATGTAAATATTGTGCACTTTTTTCCAGTCACACTTTTCACTCAAAAGAATTAATGCCATAATGGTACAAGTATGTACATGGTAGGGAAAATTGATCGTGCGTGGTTTAACCGCGGCGAAATTCTTGTTTAAATCGTATGATGTCAAAGTTTATTGGCATTGCTTCAATGAATCTCCTACACATTGAGACCCCAGTTGACTTGATTCAATGGATTATAATTTACACAGGTCTGACCACTTGGAGGAGTACCCTTTGAACTTGTTATATTGCTAATGCAGCAAATTTATTTCCGCAGAAACCATTACCATGCTCTCAGACAAAATAGTTAATAATATTATGTTTACAGTATGCACTGAAGGGGGTATCCTAGGAAGTTTTTTGAACTTTTAACAGGTACCCCTCCTCATTTAACCCTCAAGCAAGTTTCCTATCATTCGGACTTCGGTTGAGTCGACCAGGGAGATTGCATATATCCAATGGATTCTTAGCTACTCTCTAGACTAGGTGACAAAAGGGAACTGCTGGGAGGTTAGTGGTTCTCACTTCTCTCTCTCTCTTTTCTCTCTCTCTCTCTTTCTCTCTCTCTCTCTCTCTCTCTCTCTCTCTCAGTTACGATCAACGGACACTGGCCTCCTGCGGTTAGTGGTTCTTTTCAGAAGCACTGATGTGCCATATTCTACATTCTAAACTATAGGCTATATATCTGCTCATTAATCCAAATTAGGCAAAGATCCAGTGTAATATTCCCTACCCTTCAGAATCTACTCACAGATCTTGACTGATAGGAATGAATATATATTAACTATTAAGGGGCTTGAATTTGTTCTGTTTTTATTGAGATTGATGGTTATCATGAAGACATGAAAACGACGATTCTCAAGTCAAGGCAACCCACTTATGTACACATTAAGGTCATCTCTATTATATTTACTTTCTATAGCAATGTTAGAATTAGAAAGTTTATTAGAAAGTTTATTAGAAAGTTTATTGGAAAGTTTATCATTATGAGCTTCATAAATCTGAAAAGCTAAGGCAGATTTGTTATAATGCCCTCTTTTAAAATCACCTCTATGATAGTTCATTCTAATATTCAAAGGTAACCAAGTCTGCCCGAAATAAAAACCTGAGTCACACGATATACATTTGGCTACATAAATGACATAACTATCACTACAATTTAGGTTCATGTTTATTTCACAGTTTTGTGGTTATTTACTGTGAAACTCCCACTTGTACTTGGGTCATAAACCGTTAGGCAGCATTCAGCAAGTCAGACATCTGGACCTGCCACAAGCTTGTAACGTGTAGTTATCGTATTCTCTGCCTTTGATGTTATTAGAAGCAGTGGCCAGTTTTTCTTTCTTTTAAATAACTGGTTGCTAATGTTGCAGCCTCTTAACTCACAAATTATTCTAATAATAAGTTATCCGTTAAAAGCTCGAGATTGCATTAAAATTACTATTTATATTTATAATGATTTCATATGGCTGGTAGAAACTAAAAATAAATCTGGTGCTGAATATTTTTCTTTACAACTTTCACTTCAAACAATATACATTCCAGCATGTCATGGAATGTTGACGCCCCAGAATTTGTCCCTGGAAGAAGATTTGTCCCGCAAACCACCCCTACAACCCCACCTAATGAGTCTCCACCAAAGGAAGTTCATCTGAGCTCCCGATCACGTGACCCATCACGTGACCCATGTCACGTGTCACGTGTTACCAACGGTGAGCCGTCATCTTCTTCAAGTAGCTCGGGTATGGTTAGTTCTCTGAGGTACAGTGACGTCACTGCTTTACACTCTGACGGTGGGGAGGCTGCTGATGTACAATCTGAAGTTGTTGAAGGTTTGTTTTTGGAGTCCGGACATTCTAATAATTCATATAATTAAGTTATTCATCAGGCAAAGAATGTACAATGTTTTAGGTAACATAAATATTGAAACGAGAGCCATAGCGAGCTTCTACGAAACCCCTTATAACTTTATAACCTACTTACAAAATTACAAACTCGTTACCGGGAAACATCAACTATTCCAAACAACCTGCCACAGTTGAAATATCTAAAACTTGTCCCTGACCAGGTGAACCAGGAAGTAGTGGTGAACTCTGTCCCTACTACCTTGAAACAGGCACATGCTCAGAGGACGAGATGTGTGTTAATATTCACGGGTTACTATGTGAACACTGTAGCCGATATTGCTTGCCCCCCAACAACCCAAAACTTCAGAAGGTACGTCTTTTTTTTCCCTTTTTTTTTGAGACTTAGGTTTTTTTGTTATTGGATTGTTGTTGGGAGTATAGCATGCTCAGAAATGTGGAATGTGGGGAATGGGGCTCTATCTGCCACATGAGACCCTCTGAAAGAATTATAATTATATCACCAGCAGCAGTATTACTAAGTTGGTTATCAAGGAAATTAATCCAACTGTAAGATACCAGTCCAGAGCTGAGGTAACAAAGCAGCAGGTGCTGGCGGGTACATCATAGTTCATAGCAATTAGCTGAAGAGGTAAAGGCCAAATAAAGGCCAAAGCCTCCAAGGTGACAGTATTCTGGCAGATCTACATAAATGTATTAGCGTGGTTTAGGTGGAGCTAGGCCAGTGTATGCTAATAACCTTGGTGGATGATATTAGACTATTGAATATTATACAGTAATACTCCACTTAATGGGACGTACTGGGGTGCGGGGATTCAGATTCTCAATAATTATTTGGGTTTTTAATTATTTGGTAAATTTATTTATCTAGACAATAGACCAATTTTTCGAGTTGTCTGAAACAGAAAAATCAGAAATTTTTCAAGAATTTAATTTGATTATTATTATATACGCGATAGGTTCCAATTTCTCCTGTGTAAGTTTGTACTGGAACTTCAGATGATATCATAAGGGGTTACTTACAACTTAAATGTTACCAGTTTGTAAGTCTTCGCACACACATATATTACAGATCGCGAGATCTCAACTTTCCTGGCGGTAATCCCAAATAACACTGGCTTTTGTCATGACAGTTAATCAAATAACGTGCAGATCAACCATCAATCATCAATCAATCATCAAGCTTCTGAAATCGATTCTAACACAAATAATTTTGTCTGAATTGTGTCTAGATAATTTTGTCTATCTACAAACAGACAGATATTATTGATTGATTGTCTTGACAATCCTATGTAGACATTGTCCAAATAGAAACCGTTATAATGAACAATTACGTGTGTTTAATGGGAAGAAGAACTCCCATTTACTGAGGGTCATTTCCTTGACAACCCAGGGAAATTGGGGTATTTTTGTAGTGTACGTTGACTATCCCGACTTTAGAGACAATGTTAACTTACATCTGTATTGTTACATAATAATCATTTAGACATTTAAATAGATTCATTTAAACGAAGAATGTACCCAATTTACAAAAAAGTAAGTCTCAACTTATCAAGTAAGGTAGTTTTAGTAGTTGAGTTAGCAATGACCAGTAAAGAACTGTGTTGCTAATCTAAGGCTCTCTTTCTCAAGTTTAGAATTGTTAATCAAAACAGATTTTGACCGCTAGATTATCATAATAATGGTTTACTCAGGGATCGCTTATTTCTGAGAAGAGACCGTTAGTAATTGCACGTGATCTCGTCACCTGATCTCGTCACCTGATAAGGGAACCATTCGTTACTAAAAGTTTACCGTTGGTTACTGAGAAGCGATAGTTTATTATTGCATGCTATCTTGTTTAATGATAGGAAGACTGTTTGTTACTGTGAGACAAAGGGACTGTTTGTAATACGGGCCTTGAGCTCATATGATAAATGAATCCAAATCGGTATTCGGTAATGATGGTTTAGTTTGGTTGGTGAGTTCGGATCCTAATAATCAATCAACCAATGGGTTCAAGTTTGTATGTTACCAATGAATTTGTAATTCTTTTATCCGCACAATTTCTGTCCGTATTCAACCATGAACAGTGGAATAGTTACCACATGAAGAAACGGTTTCTCAGAAACCTGGCCTTTCTCTATTAGGTTAAAATTAGGTTAAGAATCTGAAATCACTATGAAAATTGAAAATTCCAGGAATCCTAAATCCAAGGACCCTAAATCACCGGGTCACAAATTACTCCGGATGGAGTAAAGGTTAAAGTAGATGAACTCGTGCTTTCTCTCACGTACAGACCAAAATTAGTGTGGACTTTTGTACTTTGCGTAGCGCGCGATGCAGTCCTCAAATACAAATGCTCTTTAATTTCGACGCGCGCGGTGGAGCGCGTTCCTTGGATTATTTACAGAACCGATTCAAAAGATGGAATATTGGGGGTTTCATTCTAAATGGGTATATTGTTTCCATCGCTTAGCAACCGGTATCCATTCTTTTACGTCACACAATGCATAATCCCTCCTTTCATCCGCTAACCCACACTTTGCTCATTCAGTGCCACGAAGATATCTGCGCAGAGATAAAGTCGTACAAAAAAGCCGCTGAGGCCAGCAAGGAACTCACATGTGCCATTTGTTTTGAAGTTGTCCTTGAAAAGGAGGATAAGAAACAAAGAAAGTAAGTTTATATTATGTTATTATTTGAGTGAGATCACCTGATTTGACACATCATGCGTACTCAACAGACCACATACCCTGCCAATTTTATCAGACTTATGGAACTTAACAGTTTAGTTACAAATTTAGTTTTTATATGATTGTAAAATTTCAGATTCGGGCTATTATCAGAATGTTGGCATACGTTCTGCATCGAGTGCATTAGGCGTTGGAGAGCGAGTCAGTCTAAAGATCAGACCAAGAGGAACTGCCCAATTTGCAGGAAGATAAGCTACTTCATCGTTCCTTCAGAGGTCAGTTTTAACGTTCCTTGTTTTGCTTTTTTAGGAGTTTAGGGCTTTTGATACAATCAACTTATTTTGATACATGTTTATAAGCTTTTTGAATTACTCTGTATATAAGCCGGGTGTTTTAGTGGTAACACGATCATAAGGATCTTTTTTATATTGTTTGAATAATTGTAAGCAATAACACTGTTAGTAAGCTGAACGCGTAGTAACTTGTTGAGTTAACATTCTGGAATGTACATGCAACATTGTACAAATTCCACCACTCACCACACTGTAAATCAGGATATTGTTGATTGTATTAGGATGTTAACTGTAGCATGCTATGTATATTTCTGAGGAATTGTGTGTTAATACATGTTACATGTATACGTGTGCATGTGTATACAATGATAGGCTTCTGCTTCATATTGTGGCCCTATAACTTACAGTGTTTATGGCTGCTATTAACATCGTAACCTTACCGCGGATGTAATTTTAAATCATTTGCCACCTAATACTTAAAGTACATATAGTATAGTATATTGTATAATACTATGTTTACAGTACACTACAATGTAGATGTGCTGGAGAAGCATCCTAAAAAGATGATTGATCCTTTAGCAGGGCCCTTCCCCCTTAATCACGGTTACCCGATCATTCGGCTGGGTCAACTGAGGACATTTCACACAGATTTGTAATGTTGCATAAATCTGATATGATGGAATCCTTAGTTCACTCCTTAGACTGGTTTGATTTGGCATGATCATTTCCCGTTCTGATATCACGCGATATTCTCTAGTACATACCAGGGGTTTGAAAATAAAAATGGTCACATAATTGTTTTAAAAGACACCTTCATCATCAAAAAAATAGCCTTTAACTCAAGTTAACATTACCTAACGATTTGAAGTGATATTAAGTATCATGCAATCAGAACTCATTTACAGTTTGTACGCTGGGATATGTTTCGGTGGAGTTGAACGGAGTTGTGCCTTCTAAGATAGTGCCGGACTTGGTGCCTATTTTTTGCGAGTCCAGTATTTTGTCTAAACAGGTTAGGGCAGGATGAAGAATTGAACACATTCGGCAATCAGAACTTGGTTCATACGTACTGTTATTGTTCGACACGCCCTGAACTTCGACTCTGTCTAACGTTCGTGCACTACATGGACGGTAACCATTAAGTAATTCGTCGGGTCGGTTCACGCCACGTATGTCGAAGTGATCCACTGAGTCAGTCGTAAGCAGCAGATGATCCCAATTCCTATCACACGCATGACGCATTGTATAAAGACATATCTATGATTGGGATAACAAGTTTATATGCTTGGGCCATATATAAGGTCACGATGATTCTACTGGAGATGCACTGATAAGACCTGCTCCGGACGCCTCAACCTGATGATTGTCACTACTGTGACGAGTACGAAGCCTCATTCCCACCCTCCTACTCTTCCAGCGAACTCAGTCCACATAGCAAAACAGAACACGAAACGGAAAGCTTCAGATACTGACCTCCCTACGAAGTACGAAACACCTAGATAAGGATCTGACCAAGTGGAAGATCAACCAGAAGATGCTGAGACGACCACCTCCTCCCCGACAGAAGAAGTGGGTGGATTACGACTGTCGCTTGAACGCTATAATATTTATTGAATGTGGAAAGTTCTTTGTCGCACTTGAGTTCATGTCGCACTACAGTTCAGGTAGCGTACTGAAGTGCGACAGTGTCGATCTTGGAGGTTTTCGCACTAGGGTACGTGTCACACTCTCTCTCTCTCTCTCTCTCTCTCTCTCTCTCTCTCTCTCTCTCTCTCTCTCTCTCTCTCTCTCTCTCTCTCTCTCTCTCTCTCTCTCTCTCTCTCTCTCTCTCTCTCTCTCTCTCTCTCTCTCTCTCTCTCTCTCTCTCTCTCTCTCCCCTCTCTCTCTCACTCATTCTCTCTCTCTCTCTCTCTCTCTCTCTCTCTCTCTCTCTCTCTCTCTCTCTCTCTCTCTCTCTCTCTCTCTCTCTCTCTCTCTCTCTCTCTCTCTCTCTCTCTCTCTCTCTCTCGCTCTCTCTCTCGCTCTCTCTCTCTCTCTCTCTCTCTCTCTGTTCTGGTCAACGGTTTCTGGCCTCCTACATTAAGATGCAACTCGTCAATGTGTCGTCATTTGTGCGTGTACTATCTTGTAACCTGATATCTGAAAGAGAAATTTCCTGGTGCTTGGAAGCTGTTATATTAGTGTTGACTTCCTCGTTCCTATGGGAATTTCGAGTTGGCAAGTCCCAACCTTTGTACTTAACAAGAGAGCACACCACCCGTTAGTGCCAACCAGGCCACACCACGTGGAGGTTCGGAGAGGATTTCGTGACCCGGGTACGTGTCTCACTACAGTATGGGATTCGGGTAGAGTCCACTTGTTATCGCGGACTTTCATAACATGACAAATTTTGTTATGTTACTGAAGGAGCTCGTTTTACAAAAAGCTGGTCCCCAAAACAAACGTTTAACTTCCCCATGCAAAACTGCACTACTATAATTCACCAAAACAATTTTATTTTGTTGTAGCTGCTGCCTCTTTGCGATGTTGAAAGGTTTGCAGATCGTGGCTATTTTTATAGTTTTTGGAAGAAACGCCGCTTCTTCCGGATTTAACTTTCTAGGTGATATAGTCGACGGTTTAGACAATCTTGCTATCGGTGATGATAACGAAGAGGATGTGGTTTTGCTTGATAATGAAGAGAATGTGATTGATAACGAAAAGGATGCGATCGATAACGAAGAGGATGTGATTGATAACGAAGAGGATGTGATTGCTAACGAAGAGGATGTGATCGATTACGAAGAGGATGCAGTCGATGAAATTGATGACACGATGGAAGATATGGCAGAGGAAACAGCTGAGTTCCTTTCAAAAGACATTCCGGACTTTGTAAAGAATGTTAAAGAGGCTTTCAACGAGGGATATGATAATTTCATAACTGAACAGATAAACAACAAAGTTTTGATTACCTTGAGTGGAAACACAAAAGACTACAAAGTGAGCAGATTTTATATGTTCTTAAAAAACTTTAAAGGGCTGAAAGAAACTGAAGACAAAACTCGAAGTTTTAGCTTAGACCAAAAAGTCAAGTTCATGTACATGAGTGACAGTGAGAAGAAATCATATTTAGGGTTGGGTAATTTAACAGAACTTGAGAAGCAATTGGATGAGGAAGAAGCTAAGGAAGCTAAGAAAGCTAAGGAAGCTAAGGAAGCTAAGAAGGAAGCTAAGGAAACTGTCAAAATGAAATGCGGGATAGAGAAAAACGGCAATATAGTATGTGTAAACCCCACAAATAAGGAGGATCGAAAAGGAAGAAGCAAACGAGATGTTGGAGAGGAAACCGTTCTGAAGTTGGAGAGAAAAGACGAGGCAAGTTCAGCAGAATCATTGGACCTCAGGGATTTCGGGATAATCACCGCTGTGAAAAACCAGGGATTTATTTGCCTGTCCTGTTGGGCATTTTGTGCGATCGGTGCGTTGGAGGGTGCGTTCGCTATGGCAACAGGTTAGTACAATCTTTTTATTATAAATACGAAAAAAATGTTGTATTGATAGTACTTTTGTTTTAGTATATTATACTCAAGTAACTTAGAGAAATTTTGATGCATTTTTATCATTGCGGAAATATCATGATAATGTGGAAATATAATAATAAATTGCTCACTTCATTGAATGTTAAAAGTACCAACTTTTAATCGACTAATAGAACAAAAATATAAAATGCAATTTTTTCAGGGGTTCGCCGGAATTTTTCAGAACAGCATGTCATGAACTGTCACAGCAGTCCTAATTCAAATTGCAAAAAAGGAGGAACCTGGCCACCCATCTGGAATGAAATCAAAAAGTCCGACTTCGTAGCTTTGATGGAAGACCAAGAATACCAGGCCAAAGACAATTTACCATGTGATAGATCAACACCTAACGGGCTTGTCTTGGACGAACCTTCACCTACAGGTCTCACTGGAGGGTTTACAATCGGTGACTACAAAGTTCTGAGGAAAGTGGACAAGGAAGGAGAATGTTAAATTACCTGGCTACTCATGGACCTGTTATAGTCGCCATCAGTGCTAATGATACCCTATATTATTACGGATCCGGGGTGATCGACTACTGTTTGGGTGGCCAAAAAGCTTTGGATCACTCGGTACTTCTGGTGGGATATGATCCTAATGTCCTTGTAATGAAGAATTCGTGGGGGACAGATTGGGGTGAAGATGGGTTCTTTCGGGTTGCTAGAGGGTGTGGTCCTTCACATTTAGGGTATTCTTACTGGGCTTCAAGACTATCGGTAGTTTCGTTGAAGCCTATCACGATAGAAACAGGTTACGAGGCCTTCCAATTTACGAAGCAATCATCGAGTATACCGCAATGGCTTTCCTTGCCTGGCGTGCAAGTTAAAAAAGGTGACCTGATTCTTCTGAAAGTGGCGAATAATGCGGACCCGAAAAAGTTCAAGTTTAACATAGACTTGCTAAATGTTGACGGAGACAATGTACAAAGAGTGTATAGGCTTGTGTATGTGAAAGAGAATGGTGAGTTCTTCTGCAGACAACTGGAAACACCTGAAAACCAAGAGGACGAAACATGCACTTTGCCTCGTAAAGGAGTAATCAAAATATCGGTGTGCAAGGAAGGGTACTCAGTGGTCATTGGTGGCACTAGCCTTAAACCATTCTCCCACAAGTTAGAAGTAAGTTTGGTGAACAAGATTGAGATTAAAGTGGTGCAGGCTGATTCGAAACAACTGTTCGAGTTCTTTAAACTAAGACGTGAAAAAGGGAGCTGTGCCACAAATACAACCACCAAACCAATAGAAAATGTTGATGAAGATATCTTCCAATTTACTCGGAGTTCATCGAGTATACCGCAATGGCTTGATGTGCCTGATGTAGAGGTAAAAGAAGGTGACCTGTTTATACTGAATGTGCTTAAAAAAGCAAAGCCCAAACATTTCAACTTCACTCTAGACTTGCTGAATTTTAAGGGAAACAGAAAAAACAAAGTGTACAGATTGGAGTACGCCAATAGGGGAGGAAAATTCTTATGTAGACAGCTGGAAAATTCTAGAAACCAATTGATCGAAAGTTGTACTTTGCCTAGCCAAGGAATAATCAAAATCTCGGTGTGCGAGTCGGGTTACTCTGTGGTATTTGGTGGTACTAGTCTTAAATCATATCCCCACCTAATAGAAGTTGATCTGGTGGAGAAGATTGAGATTAAAGTGACGAAGGATGATCCAGAACTAAATGACTCGGAAGAATTGTTCGAGTTCTTTAAACTCAGGCGTGAAAAAGGGAGCTGTGCAAAGACCATCACGACAGGAAATAATGGTGAGGAAGCCTTCCAATTTACACAGAAGTCATCGAGTATACCGCAGTGGCTTTCTGTGTCTGATGCGGAATTAAAAGAAGGTGACCTGCTTATTATAACAGTGCTAAAGAATGCAAACCCGAAACATTTCAACTTCGCTGTAGATTTGCTAAATGTTGACGGGGATAGCGAACACAGAGCGTACAGGCTGCATTACGTGTTGATTTTGCAGGTGCGGATGGGTTCGAATGCAGGCAGCTGGAAACATCTGAAAACCAAGAGGTCGAAAGTTGCACTTTGCCTCGCCAAGGAATAATAAAAATATCGGTGTGCAAGGAAGGGTACTCTGTGGTCTTTGGTGGAGCTAGTCTGACGACATTCTCACACAAAATGGAAGTTAGTTTGGTGACCAAGATAGAGGTTGAAGTGTGGAATGATGACTCGGAATTACTGTTTGAGTTATTTAAAATTAAGCGCGGAAAAGGAATCTGTCAACCAGTATTATTTGGATGAATGGATGGATCAGCCCAGCATTGTTTGTATGAAGGACTAAGAAAGACGCTGGCTTAAAAATGTGATTTGGACGATGAATATTAGTTAATAAATCAAAATATTATTATCTAGCACAATCTGCAACTTAGAACTAAGAGAACGCTAGCGATTTCATTTAAAATATTAGATGTCGACTTTAGGGTTTAAGCTATAGTTTGATATTTTTTCTGATGATACGGATGTTCTTTCTTTTTCAAGCATATTATATGACGAGGAAAAACAATATCACGTTAAAAAGACCGCGAGAAGTCGATGATATACAAGTTCTAAGTATCCCCAAATTGATACAGTTTCACCTTATGTAGAAATGCTAATCTCGAAAAACCTCATGAATATTTGAAACATCTAAAATATTTGAAATATCTAAAATATGTGATGCAACCACTCGACATGTTTACAGAACCTACCCTTTACGTACCCTAAAGTAAACCCACTCCCATCAAATAAAATGCTTTTGAGGGTGAACCTGTAGAAATGCAGTCGCTTGAAGCTGAACATTTTAAACTACGGGCTTGAAGCTGAACATTACTTACTACGGGTTAGAATATGTCCCAGCTTGCGCGAAAACCGAGTTAAACCAACACATATCACTGTTTTCACAGCAATAAACCATCAATTAACCAATTAACCAATTATCAGGTGTGGGTAGCAGACCCAGCAGAAAAAGACCGTCTAGTCCAGGGATATAAGGAGCATCTCTCCACCAAGGACTGCATGCACTTTAACAAAGGGAGAGATCATTGTCCGTTTGGTGCTAATTGCTTTTACAAACATGCTCTACCTGACGGGACTATTGTGCCGGATAACGTGGTGGGTTTTATTTTCTTATCTCCTTATTTTCTTATCTCCTTATTTTCTTATCTCCTTATTTTCTTATCTCCTTATTTTCTTATCTCCTTATTTTCTTATCTCCTTGTTTTCTTATCTCCTTATTTTCTTATCTCTTTATTTTCTTATCTCCTTATTTTCTTATCTCCTTATTTTCTTATCTCCTTATTTTCTTATCTCCTTATTTTCTTATCTCCTTATTTTCTTATCTCCTTATAACCTCAAAATTCTCTCAAAGAACGTTACTCAATTTAAGTTGATTAACTCATTTCCTGACTATAATTTCCATAATTAAACCAAAAACGCTCTCCAGGTGAAGAGAAGGGTGAACTCGCAGGGGGACCAAGTGGTTGTCTCGATGCCGCTGATATCGGACTTCTTGGAGGAACTTTTAACCTACTCCGCAGCCAATACCCACCATCTTAACGCACTTCGGACTCTCTTCCAGGAGCTCAACAACCACCCTTAAAAGGGATCGACTTTCAAACTCTTTTTTTTTTCCTGCAGTTTGAATTATAAGTGATTGAGTAATGAGTTATTTGATATAAGCTGGAAGTAGCGCTGATTTGATAAAAACTTGGTGTGACGCGTGATAGCGAGTCACGTGACAGCGAGTCACGTGATAGCGAGTCACGTGACAGCGAGTCACGTGATAGCGAGTCACGTGACTCGCTGTCACGTGACAGCGAGTTTCGAACAAAGCTGATTTGAGTATACTGATGATAAAAATCCGAGAATTTTGTTTTGTTAATATTGCATTTTGAGACGAGAATAATTTCGCAATTTTCGATCGACTGATTTATCTGAGATTTACAGGACCGTACGGCGGAACTTTCGGAAAAGGCTGAATCACATAAAACTTAAAATACTGCAAGAAATCTCTCCATATGTTTACAGTAACAGGAGTAACCCTGTGTTAAACTGTTACAGTTGTCCTCGCGTAGGAGCTGATAGTTTAACAACAAAATAAACAAAACATTGTATGTACTATGGAAGGTTCTAGAAGAATGAGCGTTTAGGGTGAATCACATTCGATTCAATCTACAAAAATTGTAATCTGTGTGCCATGTGATTCCGCCGTATTACCCACCGTTTTTGAAAAGTTCCGCTGTACTTCCTGTCATATACGAACCGTCTTTGTGTTGATGATTCCATTTTTCTAGATACTTCAGACGATTCATTTTATATTTTGAGGAACATAAAGAGAAATTTTGTCCAATCTTGTTATAGTATGCATTTGAGCCGATCTATCAGTATCAGAAAAAATAAGTGCATTTATACGATAACTGAATTAAAACTGGCGATGAAAGTTAGTGCAAAACCGTATGACCTTACTCTTTACGTTACCGAGCAAAACAAGTTAAATTTATTTACTTTTGCGTTAACTCGATTAGCTACGTTGAAATCTAACCATGTTACTCTTAAGATCATGTTTAAGTAATGGGTGAAATATCACACCCAGGGACAAGGGTAAAATTTATTACATGTTACTACACCCAATCTCCTTTTTCGTTATCAACCCAGGCGAAATTATTTTCATTTCTAATTTAAAGATGGTCATTACATAGCATTTCTATAGGCGTTAAAAAGTTAACCCCCACAACCACCGGACACGAGATTAATTAACCAATTGCTTAATTAATTATGGAATATGTTGACGGTTGAGTTTCAAATGAATATGGCAATCTGTTTTACTTTTACTTTATAATAATATATGAAATATACCCACGCGTAACACTGCTTATTTGTAAGCAGTGTACCAAAACTTTCTACTATAAAGTTTGTAATTAATTGTATCAGAGAACAATATCAGAAAAGAATAGAGTTTTATTACTATTAGTCGTATTAACAATTAAATTAAAATAGTTTTGGCACACAGTTCTTTTTGTAGTGGGTCAACTAAATGTACATACAGTAGAAAATAGAATGGTATTCCTCTACTTAAAGTAAAATATGCGCACCTGTCGGAATGTGAAGGAAAATGTAAAATTTTCACGTCAGATTCTCAGGACAGAGATTGTCCCATTATGGAGAACAATCTTGCTCCGCATGCAGCATGGTTTGGCAACGAATAATACACTTAAAGTTAAAACACAGAATGAACAATGATCCTGTTCTATTCCGGCCGATTTGCTGTAGCTGCGTGATCTCCCAATTTTAACCAAAATATTTAGGTTTGACAGTACGCTCTTTGAACCGTCACATCTAACTATGTGTGTGGTACAACTACAAGTAGAAAAACTGAAATAACTAGAACTAGACCGAGAGTGACACCGAGACGGCGCGGATAAAGTGTTACAAAATATCAAATTTGAGATTGCTTCGGAACAAAGTCAAAAGTTTGGTGGACTGGTGGAGAGTTCTGCCGCAATCTTGAGTTCATATCCGTGCTCGAAATATATTGTATGAAACGAGCCATTACCATAATTATGTAGTGTTCGCTTCATTTGTACGGTCTCTATTATGGACCCATACCAGGCTGTCACAGGTGTAATGTCTGCGTCATCTAATTTTATCTTCTTAATATACACATGGTGCGCGCGCGCGCGGCTTTCTTGTTGAACTAATCAAAACATGTCGTAGTTTTTCCATATTTTAACGATTCGGAGTTCGCGTACGCCGTATACGTTCCGCATCCGGAAGAATGTTTCATTTATCATACATCATATTATAATTAGTTAACGCTATCTTCGGCTTAATGGCTGCAGCTCTTAAAGCCTAGGGAGTGACCACTATATTGTGTTGTCTGTGTGTAATTCAAGTCACGAGACAGGATGTTACAATCGTATGCTAGGGTTAGGTAAGCTCAAAAGCTAAATTATAAATATTGCCGCTATTCAAAATGCATGGTATTAAAATGGTATGAAGCGAATTGTAGTTGTCCTCACTTTTGTCAGGAATCCATATTGACGTGGCAGATCACGCTCGTGACTATCAAACAGAGAGTAGTATTGTAATGCGAGGGTATCTCATCTAACTTTCAAGTTATATCCCGCGTTTAAATGAACATGTTGATGTTTATATTGAATCATCATAATATTATTATAATATGTAATATAATAATATTATTATATGTAAAAGTGATAGATTTAACGGTTTTCAAGTAGTTTTCACGAATGTGGTCAATAATAATTTGGCAAAGAGACAAGAGTAATCAAAAGGAATTTAGCACTTATAATGGTTTATAAGTTATAACAACGTACGTCATAAACGTGTTAAAAACATTTGAAATATGCAAAGACCTTGCCAAAAATTCCTCGTGAGGCTTAACGAACCATCGGGAATTTTCTGAGCTCCTTAAATTTTGAGCAAGATAACAAACGGACGATCACATGTGCTGAATAAAATTTTTTTAAACTTTCAATTTTTTCGGAAGCAACTTTCTCAGAATACAAATGAAAAATGAAACAAAATCTCAACGATGTTTAAACAAATTTAATTTTTCACAATACATCATCTTATAAATTTGTCAAAACTGTATATCTAACTAGACACAATTATAGTTGAATTACGATGACTATCCAATATTTTAAAATTGGAGTTCTCTGTTCTTGCCAAATATTCAACTTCTTCCCTTGCATACGATAAGTAAGAGTCGAGAAATCTCTATAACTTTCGAAATTTCGAGAATGTCTAAAATCTTTATAACCTCCAAATTCTTTAGAAGGTTAAATTAAAAACAATCACCTAGAATCTTCTGTAAATAAATACGTCTAGTAGCCTAGAAAGTTAATTACCATTTTACTGCACTGACTAACTATCATGAATTCACGTTTTACTCGTGCTTGAAAACATTTAAAAAATAAAAAGCTGCTGCGAGGATACTGTAAATCGAGATATTATTGTTTCAACAACATGGTCTAGCAACTATTTGTACGGTAAAATGCATCCCCACATTGCTTTACACTGACAATGATTTATAAGTCAGCAAAGATCAAATAAAATCGCTGCACCAAGGTTCTAAAAATACATTCAAACAGCTAAATTGTGCGAAGGTAGCATCAAACCGGATTTTCAATCGTTTTTAATGTCAACCTTTTCTGTAATTTCCGGATCAGAACGTTGTTTATTAGTAACATTCCACACATTTCTCACATTATTGTGATGATTCTGATTCGAAATTTCTGGTCATTACGTTTTTGCGACAAGTTTACTGATTAGACGTATTTTATTTAATAAATAAATGCACGGTTTGACACACCCCACTTTCATGCAATAAAAGGTCTAAACTGCCCGCTATAGCTTAAGTGCACGACAATCGACCAAGTAATCCTACTTTTATACATAAATATAGTACATGCAATGTCATATTTACTTATTCATTTAACAGTGAGCGAATTATAGTGTGTGTAACATTACATTATTATCATATCGTAACACAAAAGCCAGGAAAATGAACTTCCGATAATTTAATAATGGGGGACATTTGAATTATAAGGAATGGAATTTCCGGGTCAAACAACCGGAAAACTTTTTCTGCCTAAAATATTTTATTTTATTTACAGTCGATTTTAAAATATCTTTTAAAAAGAACGGCTTATTTACACAATCTAGTAACATTTTGAACAGATCAAATCCTAAAATCTTGCGTAAAAATCTTTAAAAGTTAATATTTAATCATTGGCTGTCTGTTTCAATGGCTATAAAATACCTATCTGATCATTTATAAATTCATCTCCGTCTGTTCAACACATTTTTATGATATTTCGATGCCAAAATCAGCAAAGAAACACGATAAAATGAAAGACAACACAACAGAGACACTTGAAAAGTCTCTCGATAAAGTCTTGCGAGAGACTACAATCTCCGTTTCGTGTATTAGGGAAGACGAAGCACACTTCTTCTGACACGTGACATATTTTATCTAATTTTAGCTTGCAAATTGTAGTAATTAATAATTAAATATTTTGCCAAAAGCAGCAACTCAAGATTTTAAAAACACTGTTGAGAGTGCACAAAAATATGTGGTCTCAACTTACTATTTCTACTTTTCATTTCAAGACCATGCAGCCAATTGAAAACCATTATTTTAGTCACGTGTCAAAACAGACGTGTTGCGCTTCCCAGTCCCATTATTACGTCCTAATCAGTTCCACAGGGACAACAAGCTATCATCTTCGCAAACCCTGCACCATACTTATTACTGTTATTAGTAATTAACTAATTGGTTATAATCACTGTCATTAGTAATTAACTAATTGGTTATAATCACTGTTATTAGTAATTAACTAATTGGTTAGTACTGTTATTAGTAATTAACTAATTGGTTATTATAACTGTTATTAGTAATTAACTAATTGGTTATTACTGTTGTTCAAGTAATTTGGCAGGTCCACGTGCGCGTTGTTGAGAACATTGTTATTTCTCTACTGTGTACATGATGAGTCTTCAGCCATCACGCACTTTACGATAAACTCTGTTTTGTCTCCAGTCCTTTCGTCATACGTGTTTACCTGAAGTAAGTTATTAGTTAATTAATTAATTAATTAGTTATATTAGTTAATTAAATAATAATAAATTGAAGTTTAATAATACCACTATTAGGATAGATACTCAGCAGTTATTACATATTAGTTGATTAAATAATAATAAAATGAAGTTTAATAACACCACTATTAGGATAGATACTCAGCAGTTATTACATATTAGTTGATTAAATAATAATAAAATGAAGTTTAATAACACCACTATTAAGATAGATACTCAGCAGTTATTACATATTAGTTGATTAAATAATAATAAAATGAAGTTTAATAACACCACTATTAGGATAGATACTCAGCAGTTATTACATATTAGTTGATTAAATAATAATAAAATGAAGTTTAATAACACCACTATTAGGATAGATACTCAGCAGTTTTTAATCTAGTTGGAACCCAGAAATGTACTTGAATAATAGGGAAGATCTGGTAATCAGGACTAGGTAATCAATTTCATTATTCAATGAACTGAATTAATTAATTAAATAGGTTAATCAAGCATCCTTTATTTGCCGTACAGTATAATTTCTAAAATCAAATTAATTTTACCGTTACCTTAGTGTACGCTCAATAAAACAGCTACAAGGAAGATAAAATTCTGGGAGTTAAATTCCGGTAATACGTGTACGTTAAAGGGGAACCGCAGATCGTAGCCTTCTGTAGACTGTAGAGTGTATGTAAATCTATTTTCATTTCTTACCTAAGTTAGCAGCACATAAACTCACATTATTTTCCAGAAGAGCACAGACAGGATTTCAAGATTATTATGATAATTTGGGCAGGAAATGTTTTGTGAGTTTGGGAAATATGTATAAGAAATTTTAGAATTTTGTATATTCGACATCGGCAATCTATATATTTCATGGTATGGACTGATGACAATGGAGGAATCGATACTGTTTTTTATTATATTTCTTTCGATTATTTAAGGGTCTTCTAGAATAAGTTTTCGGAATGAACTACTGAGTGTAACTCTTAATCCAGTCTCCAAACTCTCGTCTCGTCTAAAACGAATTTGATTCTACTTTTTCCGGTAAACATTTCAGCAATATATCGCGGTTAGATGAAAAGCTGAAAAGCTCTTTCTAATTCCGTGTTTACTGTTAACCATATAAAATGTGTTAATAATAATAAAGGTAGTAACGTTGAGGATCGAATCACATTTTCACATATTTTCCTGGTGAAAGTTGTTGTTGCACGCATGACCTTTAAAAACACCCACTAAAAACACGACTTGAGACACGAAGTAAATTATGTAAACAAAACCTTATATGAGTTAAAATCCTCTCACACAAGGGCTATCCGGTTCATGGCGTACGCTATTTTCCTGGTGAAAGTTGTTGTTGCACGCATGACCTTTAAAAACACCCACTAAATACACGCCCCCACTTGAAACACGAAGTAAATTATGTAAACAAAACCTTATATGAGTTAAAATCCTCTCATACAAGGGCTATCCGGTTCATGGCGTACGCTATGGCTTAAAAGAAACTGTCTCTGGCTGCCCCTCATACAAAAGTAAGAAATTCGAAAACAATGATGTATGGGAAAAATAATCATGATGGAAATTATAAAGTAACCCAATAAATTAACATTAATCAAAACTAACTAATAATAATAATGAAAAACATATGTTACGTACTGTTTTGTACGGAGGAAAGTAGCAATGTAACGTTACACATGTGTCCGTGTCACTGTCATTGCTCATCCGGTGTATCCCTGAAATGGTAAATGTATTAACAACTTACTAACAGCTTACTAACAACATACATGTCTTAACAACATACTAACAACTTACTAACAACATACATTTCTTAATAACTTTTCTATTTTATTTCTAATGATCTCTGAGAGAGGTAAGGTAAGGTTATAGCTAAAAAGCAAATCAACATTGTCCAACTCACATTTCTAATACGATTTGCAATACGATTTATTTGATAAGTTTTTCTACCTGAATTCTAATCGAGTTTAACACTTGTACCTTTAACACTTTAACAGAATTAATAAACCCAATATCCATTTATAGACGACATCCACTTCACGAAAAACACGAACCCCTATGATTTACAATGTTATTTTTACTGATATTGAAAATGTTTCCCAACACTGATCGAATAAGAAACTGCCTTTTACCTGCACAGATTACATAATTTTCAGTGTTTGTGGAATGCGGTCTGACACCGGGAAAAAACGGGATAAAAAAGGATAAACGCCTCAGAAACAGGACAAGTTCATTAATTTCCGGCTTGGTAACGATGTATTTCCGGGTTTTTTTTCGGTGAGCCGTATCTATTGAGAGCTGCTTACAGTTACACATAAAGTTAGAAGAGAGCTACTGCGAGATAATTAGAAAACATATAAACAAGAGTCCCCGTCCCTTCTTCTATGATATATTTTTATTTTTACATAAATATTGACGATGTGTAAATTTGTAAGCGAAATTTACTTTTATCTTTCTTTTATCAAATTTGATTACGACCAGAAACTGAACCATAATATGATAACCTGTACTAATAAGTGCCAATCTGTGCAATTGTTGGCATTGTAACAGATAACTGTACTTTACACAAGGTTCACAGTTCTCTCCCGGCTCCGCCCAACATTAAGCAGATAACTGTACAGTTAATATACACTGAGAATATTCCAGAAAATATCGATTAAAACAATGAATGTGACTGTAGGTTGTGCAATCTTCTTGAATAGCTGATTCTAGAAGTATATATTACAGTGCATGCAGCATAATCTATAAAGTTAAAGAAACAAAATATATATCCAGTTTAAAATTTAGTGACCACGATTTAGGAAGGAAAGTTCTTACAAATTTCGTGTGCATGGTCTTTAAACTTAAAAATACAATATCCAGTTTTACACTCAGTGGACACTATTAAGGAAAGGAAATTGTTTAACTACCAAACTTTTTAACGATTAAATTAGAATAATGATATAATTAATATAATAATATAAGTAATATAAGTAATGTAATAATATAAGTAATATAATAAATATTAATATAAGTAATATGTGATAATTCAAGTAATATATTAATATGAGTAATATAATAATAATTTAAATAGTAAAGCAATCACCTTGGTAATCGTTTATATGACCAACTTCTCCCTCGTTTAGAGAAGTTTCTTCGGAAACCTCCAGGTGAACTTTTTTACCGCACTCTGGGAACGAATATCTGAGTTTGGAGGCAAAGTTAGAAGAGGATAAATGAGGTTAGAAGAGGTCAGATGTTGATGCTCAATAATTTAAAATAGCGGTCTAATAGGTAAGTTTTAGATAATAATAAGCCGTGTCAGCTTCAGTGTTACCCACCATGTGAACCAACCAAAGATGAAAGAAGTTGAGACAACAAGCAAGATGTTAATCATGGTGAGAATTAGAGATAAATATTGGTGTAGCTATTGAATACTAATACAGCTATATTGGTGTAGCTATTGAATACTAATACAGCTATATTGGTGTAGCTATTGAATACTACTACAGCTATATTGGTGTAGCTATTGAATACTAATACAGCTATATTGGTGTAGCTATTGAATACTAATACAGCTATATTGGTGTAGCTATTGAATACTAATGCAGCTATATTGGTGTAGCTATTGAATACTACTACAGCTATTGAATATTCTTAACTTGCAGCTGATGTAAACTGAATGTGAGTAGATGAAGACAGTCACAACAACATTACTCACTATAATACAGTTACTTTGTTTAATGTTTATAAACATAATGTGTATAAATGTGTATAAATGTGTATAAATGTGTATAAATGTGTATAAATACACACTGACCTTGTTTCACAAACGGATCCCTCACAAACTTTAAACATGCACTCAGCAGTTGGATGATCGTGTACGGGGGTACCTTGTCCACAGTTCCAACACAGGATCACTAGATTGTACCTGAGGGTGAAATTACGATGACTGTGAAAAAAATACACCATTTTTTAGATCTTGTTGTTGGTGTAATTAATAAATAAGCTATCTTATAGCTTGAAAGTAGTAAAGCATACAGTCACTTCTCAACTATACAGGAGTTGGGAATATACAAGTGTCATGTCTGATTGATTATACGATATATGGCATGTTCTGTTATAAACATTTATAGTTGAGATATCTTGTCAGTCTCGTATGATGAAAAATTTCTTTGAACTTATCAGGAAATATTTAGAGACACAATTCCATCGAAGAGTGTACAGAAGGCTTGATTCGATCAGTTTGATGTAATGATAATGCAATTCAGTGAAGCTGATATAGAACATTTAAAATGTTATGAATATATTTTGCAACCAATCGATCACTAATCTATATTTTTCAAGATTTATTATACTACCAACTAACCCACCTGTTGTTTCCTATATCGATAACTACTCTGTAGTATTTGTGGTCGTCAAACTTGCAATATTGTTTCCAATCTCCTCCTGTGTGATCGTAGCTGAAACAAGTAAATAATTAGGGTACAAAATTTGTCAAATAAATGTCTTTGCAGGGAATGTTGCAAGGTACATTTACAAGGTAGTAAATACTGGATAGGTAGAAATAGTATGAAACCACAACTATCGCTACATAGTTTCATTACTTATTGTCATTGATAGGCTACCAAATGCATCCTTTCAGTTTGGATGATGAGACAATGAGAGATTACCATTTGTTGTAATTTACCTTTCAAGGATTTCCTTTACAGATTCTCGTGACCATTTGTCTGTTGAAAACTCCTCCTTGAGGCACTGCATGACTTCGCTAAGAGTTAGTTGACCCATTCTACATAAGCTAAAAATTACGGTTATTACTATTAGTTCTACAACAAAATCCATAGTAAGATACCTTATGAGACATATTTAAAAGGTACGAAAGTCGGTGGTTTTCCGAACAAAACACCATATTTTCGGACTATTATTTTTCACATATTTACTTTAATTATGACTTTGTCGATTTACTATCAATATAGTAGGTTATAAATATGATTCATGACGGTTTGACACGTTGTATTATAAGTCAGCAAGCTCTGCTACTATTTCATTTGCCACGGCATTGAAATTTCGGGAGTGGTGGAGGATAACAAACACTGGTGGTCTCCCATTGTCAAGTTAAAACTAACTTTCAAAGGTGCCGTAGAAACTGTTTATAAGATAAAACAGCTTGTTAGAGGTACCTATACCCGGGACCAAACTGGAGAGAGAAACGTCCCTGAACCAGAAATGAAGAAGAAATTGACTAGTAGTTTTATTTTTGTAAATTAAAGAAATGAAAAAAATCCCCAAATACCATGATTTAATTTTGGGGTACGAAATGCAGTGGTTTCCAGCAAAAATCCCATCACAACTCATTTAGGTCACGGAATTATGTCGAATATAAATATGTCTCGTTAGGTAACATGTATCTTGGGAGCATAAAAACATGATCTGATATTCTGATTTGCTTGAAGTTGTAAAGATTTCCTGCATCTGACATTTTAATCTGAGATAAATCTAAAGAGTCCATCTCACTCTCTCACTTTGTACATTTTGTTTAATACTGAGGTGGGTACTCTTCCATACATCTCTCAACTGGAAATCCTCAAGAAAACAACCTCAACACTTGCAGAGCAGTGTCTTTGTTGTAATCTTATTAAAGCTTTTTAGATTATAAGCGGTTAAGCAGATTATGAAGCCGGTATGTCGGGAATGAGCAGATCAGGTATAAATCAAGTGTTAAGCATGAGATGTAGTAAGAGTGGTACTGTAGTTAAGAATCTCCAGAATTATTTTCTCTATGAGAGAGCTAGATCATATTGGAATAAACTCCCTGACTCTGATATGAGACAGTTCTCAGCTTTACAGTTAAATTAGAAGGATTAAAGAAAGATGTGATTTCAAAAAGTTATGTAAACGAATGTTAGTTTTATAATGTTATGTGTTAACTTTACATTAAGTATTATTATATTAATAACTGGCGCTGTGCTGATACTTAACTATGCTTTTCAACTTTAATATACGTACAAGTGGAAGACAATTAACAACATAACATTATAAATAATGCCTCTCTGGGCATCTCAACAAGAAATTCACAGAAAATGAACAATTTACGTTTGAAACCATATAATTACAAACTAAAAAAATTCAACTAAATACCTTTGATAATAACCTTCTTCCTCTTAGCTATCATTGAATTCTCTTTCGTATACAATATAACTTACATAACTATTCCTATTTATTAATTAGACACAGACTCATCTTTACTGGGCCGCGCTCAGCCTGTCATTCCGCCTAATCTCTATTATGAACATAATAGCCTGAGGTCCCCAGGTAAACTCATCTATCCTATCAAAAATGTCATATGACAGTTCCCAGTATAGTAGTAGTAGTAGCGAAGCTTATTAATTGACGATGTCAATTCATGGCAGCTCGGCGCGGCACAGTAGCGCATTTCGCTGATCTAGCCAGATCGCTGTGAGAAGCCTCATTGAGTGCGCGGCGCGGCACAGTAACGCATCGCGCTACAACGAAGCTTATTAGCCTGAGCTTATTAGCCTGGATTTATTTAACCTATACTACTGAAGCCCAAATTAAGCGCATGACGATTTTTATTCATGTATATTTATTGGTTCGATCTTAACCTAGCGACCCCAGGCTGTTATGATCTTACTGGGCAGCGCTCAGCCTGTCATGATAGCCTGAAGTCCCCAGGTAATTATATGTTTATATATTATGTTCATAAACATTATATATAATAAAGATTCCTGATTCGGCGGAATGCCAGGCTTAGCGCCGCCCAGTAAGTTCGATCTCAGAACTCGAACTAAAGCTGTAAACTGTGACGATTACAATTTTTAATTCAGGTGATGCCTTCAAAAGGCCATTGAAGGTGGATTTTTGATTTGGCAAAACTTTTGTAGTTTGAATTACAGTTTACCAATAATCATGAGAAAAACTTTTGATTTGAGGAATAAATGGGAAATTAATTGAAGAATTGTTTTTTTCAATTACAAAATTTAGTTATTACGTTGCAGTAAAATTACAGGGAAAATGTTTAAAAATAAAAACAAAACTTTTTCAACAAATATTTACTTTTTTTATAATATATAATTCACCTAACTTGCGCTTGCTTATTTTTGCTCGATCCATTCATGAAATGTAAAACGCTCCTATGCAAAATTTTAAAATAGCACCGCGGCATCCAGCATAGAGAGTAGTTGTCATATGACCCGCACGAGTGCGCGGCTCTCCCTGTATCGTAAAAACTCTATACAGTGAAACGACATTGGGGGTCACGACGTGATATAAAAAAGTAGCGTGCCATTTGCCAACTGACCATTTTATATATAAAAAATTGTCAGTTGGCACGCTACTTTTTTGTATCACGCTCTATCATCTATGGAGCATTAAAATTATTTCATTATTTAAAATTGCAGTACAAAGTTTAGTTTATAGGTTGGTAACCTACAAAAACGCGCGCCGAGTTGAAATTGTCGACAGTCTTGGAACAAATATTTTATGTATTGCTTAAACGCTTTTTAAACCGTATACCTTAGAATTTTATAAATCGAGTGGACTAGGATGAAACGCAGTTTTATACGCATATATATACAATTTTGTTTAAGTTATTATAAACCAACAAATTAAACATGCAAATTATACAAACAATAAAAATTTAACTTTGACTCAGATGTGAAATTCTGACTAAAGATAAATAAGTTTTAAAGCTTGCGTGTAAATAATTACTTGAATTCTGACTCATCATGTATTTTGTTATATTACTGTACGAGCCTTAGCTTATTGCATATAACGTAGCAGACTTGAAATTTTACGCCGCGCATCATCAACCATTTTTCTCAAAGTGCACTTACGAATTTATCCAACGCGATATTGAATAACGTTATGCGTTACGGCCTAGCCAATTAATTACCTTATGGGGTGTGTATAGACTACCTTTTAGCGTCTTCTAAATTGTGCGTACAAAATGTTGCTGGTACGTATGTATGTGCAACGATTTTGAGTTCTCGTTTTTATACAAAATAATGATTTTTCAATCATTATATTTACTGAAATTTGTTTATTTTATTACCTTTTATTATTTACTGCTAAAAAATAATCTTTATGAAATGCGAATAATAATTTAATAGAATTGCTATGTACCCTACTATAGTGGACGGTAGTATAGCGCCTCCATTAAGCCATATAAGGAGCATATAGTGTTACCATAAAAGGCTATCTAATTTTCTGTTTGCCATACCCGGTCAACACGTGTTTCGTTCTTCCATTTCTGGTATTCGTATCTTTGACAACAGCTTGTGATCTTGCCGCAGATGGCAGAGCCTATGGAATTTGATCGCACTAGTCCGGAAATGGTTCGAGCGGGCGGTAATACGGGCTACCCAAACAAGAAACACTGCACGTCACCTCGGAAAGGCAGCACAAAGACAAACAAGGACAAGAAGATGGACAAGACCATTTACCGCGAACAGTCAGATGGGATGCAGCAGCAGCAACAGCAGCAACAACAACCACCGCCTCCCCAACATCGCCAACATCTGGAACCTATGAATATTCCTCTAGGTCAGGGTGTTCCCCCTGCCTCTGGAATGCCACCACATCACCTGGGACCCGAACATCACGTACAGCAAGCCTCTCGGGCCAGACATCGATCAGTTAACAGCCCGTCCGGGGAATCGGCAGCGGATAAGAAAACGCGGGGCAGAGTCCGGATCAGGATGGAGTTCATCTCGAACAAACTTCGGAGGTACACGACTTTCAGCAAGAGGAAAACTGGGATCATGAAAAAGGTTAGATTTTGCGCTGTTTTGAAGCATGTTTGTTACTTTGATACAGCTTATTTTGAGCTGCTTATTAGATGAATTCTTGGCTATTTTAGTTCCAAAATTATTTTCCCGCCATATTTCTGAACTTGCTCTTCTTGTCCGTTACCGCACTACACATTGCACACGTTTACTTTTTATCTATTGAGTTGTAATTTTCTCTATTAACTCGTTGAGAAAGTTACTCTCTAAACTTGACCTGATAGCTGCTACCCATTGAAAGAATTACGGTGTTTTTTATGCCAGTACGTGATTTCGTGATTATACTATTTCCAGAGAGAGATCATACCATTCTAAGAATTGCTTTTGAACTTGCTAACACCTTTTTCCGAGTATTAGTTTAAAATTCTAGGTGACATTGTTATGTTGTTATGTTGATGTATAGTTCCATAGATTTCGTAAGTGGTAAGGCTGACCGTGAGTTTTTAACATTGGCCTCTTACTAATTTTAGTAATCTAAGTAAAAAGCCAATGAGCCTAACGTCGATTATTTTTATTTAGTGTTCACCAGTTATTTGCCTCCTTCCATATTGTCTACCGTGAAAGCCATGATACCCCCTACTAAACACCGCAATGACATTACTTTGTTCATGTTAACCCTGGGCAGGCTGTCCCCCTCCCATTCACACTGCCGCTACCCCTCAGGGCGACACACTTCTTACTTGCTAAATATCTTACTTTATTAGTTCAGTACCACTTAAGAATGAGCGCCAGATACCCTTGAGCTTGCTTATTGTACACTGTAACGGGCTGTGCCAACAAGTCCTGTTTCTCATGTAAATTTAACAGCTTAGAGTTATCAAACTGGCGATTTTACCGCTAATATTTTGTGGATTACTAATAAGTTTGTCCTGAAAAACAAGATGTTTTGCACCAAGATGTACCCACAAGAGAGATTGTTTTCTGTTTATTTCCGATAATTCGGTAGACAGAATGAAACTTAGCAAACAAAATGACAAGCAATCGATATATTCGGCATTAGCATGATGGATACTAAACATAGATTCAAATCAAAGTAATGAAGTTCACTTTGCTATTCACCCTTCATTTCTGCTGTACAAAGTTTTCAAGGTATTCATTCAAAATATAGAAATCGGATAGGAAACCGACAGAACGAATTATTTAGCATTTAGTTCATAATTTATTTAAATATATACTATTATGAATGTACTATATCTAGAATGGCTTGGAAAGTTAAATGTGCGTCTCTTCACTGCTTCTTACTGTTCGATAGATACATCAAAATTGTGGCAGAATTGTATATTAATAATGATCTGTGGGAATTCGAGTAAAATCACACAATCACCGCTTTTTCTGTTCACTGAGCTGAAAATAACATCCTCGGTAAACCCATACATGCAAACACCTTACATGTATTATATTACTGTTCTTACGATAATCCAAACAGTTGGTTTCCTTGTTGGTGACATTTCACCCGATCAAAACTGATGACTTGTGAGATTTTCAGTTAAAATAAATTTCACAGTATCAGAATTTTCCTACTCAACTGATACATTTGTACGATGATCAAATCTCTATGATATTGTATCATGACTTGTACAGTGTATACATGTACTAATATAAGTGTACGCATGATACATGAAACTTGGCCGCGTGTAATATAACGCAACAACTCTATGTTAATATATATAATATAATATACAGCATTAGTAAGATTTATAGAGTCCAACTCACAGCATTACCTGAACTAGAATTACAATTTACTCGGAACGCACTGTTACAGCCCAGAACTATATACAAGTAATGTTACCATTTACTGCAGAATTCTCCCTACCTTATAAGGTCATGGGCAGGTTGCCAGAGCTACATGGTATACCCTCTTTTTTAGCTGTCAGCTCCACAGTACTTAACCCGATGCGTAATAATGCGTACATATAATGCGGAAATTAATAAACTTTTTACTAAACTAAAATGTAGCTTAGTTATTCCTAATATTCTTCCAGGATTTGTTGTAAGATTCAAGTATGCAATAGTTACAAAATATTTTGAATCGTCTCTTAATTTTGTTATTTTAACAACCTCAACAACGGTCCTCAATCCACTTCTCAAGTCCTTCAATTATATATATATATATATTGTGACGTTAAAAGTAGATCGACAGCGGATAATAGTATGGACGTAAATATAAAATTAGTGCAGTTTTTCATGTCCAATATAACTTGTATAAGATGTACAGAGTAAGTTTCAGTTTTACAGTCAGTCTAAACATTTTACACATTATATGTGTCTGAGTCAGACATCATCTCTTTACTTTGAAAAAGTTAACCTTGGAGTGTTCAATTCTGAAATTTATCATATTATGAGCTTTATTCGTAGTGCTGGAACCAAGTGAGAACTAATATGGCTAATCTTAAAATTTACGGAAAGTCCAGGAACTGCATTCCTAGCCAAAATCCAGTGCTATTTTGTGTTGTACTGAATCAAGCATCATAACAATAAGCATCATAACAATAGTTTATATAAGCATCATAACACTAAATCTAACAGTTTGTGTACCCCCAGGCGTACGAGTTAAGCACCCTAACTGGAACACAAGTAATGTTGCTAGTCGCTTCGGAGACTGGTCACGTGTACACCTTCGCTACTCCTAAACTACAACCCATGATCACTTCAGGTAAGGTCACGTGTTCTGTGTGAGGTCACGTGTTCTGTGTGAGGTCACGTGTTCTGTGTGAGGTCACGTGTTTGATCACGTGTTTATCGGCTTTGTTTGTTTAGAGTGTTCCTTTTTCTGTGGGTTTGTTTACATATCTGTATTTACTTAGTAAGGTGCACTACTGACAGTTGCTGTCACATGATCTGTTTTTCTGCATCTTTTATTGTTCCTAATATAACTGGTATGAATATTTATCGGTAGTTTGCTGTATAAAATTTGACTTTATTTATTAATTATCTAGGTACGCAATTTGTATCGCTAGTCCCAACCCTGGAGGAGAAGATTTGTAAAATAATATTCGGAAAAACACCTCAGGGGAATTTTAGGCCATATGGTGCTTCATAAGTCGTACATCTTAACATGATCATGGCGAGTATTTCTAACTCGAGAAACCAAAATCCAGTTTTATTTTGGGCTGCACTGAACCGAAAAAAACAATTTTTTGTGAATATCTTTAAAGCTAAGCACACTAGCCCTTATGTTGCTTCGCAATATGTATATAAATTTGGCAATTGCGGTTATTTTGAGCTAAAAATCAGAACTACCATACAAAGAAACCTTTGTGGTATAAAATTGTGGACATCGAATTGTTAATACTGAACTACACTCAGCTACAGTTATTTGAACAATTTGGATTATTCTAAACATAAATTAAGTAATTATATATTAATATATATAATAATAATATATAATATTTTTTAGAGACGGGAAAAGCACTGATACAGACCTGTCTGAACTCGCCAGATCCTCCCCCTCCCAACCGTAATCCCGATGAGAGGATGTCTCAGACTGGGTACGAGGAGACGGAACTTGCGTACCCTGTCAACCCTGATGAAGTGGAACCTGAAAAGGTACGAAGTTGTAGCAGGTTAAGGCAGGTTAAGGCAGGTTGTAGCAGGTTATAGGAGGTTACAGCAGGTTAAGGCAGGTTGTAGCAGGTTACGTAGGGTACGAAGTTGTAGGAGGTTGTAGCAGGTTAAGGCAGGTTGTAGCAGGTTACAGCATGGCAGGTTGTAGCAGGTTATAGCAGGTTACAGGGGGTTATAGCAGGTTATATGAGGTTATAGGAGGTTATGGGACGTTACAGGGGGTTATAGGAGGTTACAGGGGGTTATAGGAGGTTATGGGAGGTTAAGGCAGGTTGTAGCAGGTTACAGGGGGTTATAGCAGGTTATATGAGGTTATAGGAGGTTATGGGAGGTTACATGGGGTTATAAATCAAGAGGCTTGCATATATATAGGAGGTTATGGAAGGTTATCAGGTTATGGGAGGGGGCTTGTGCTAGATTTTGAATATCTTAATTCTATTGCCCTCTACACTGCACTGGTGAGTGGTGGGATGTGAAAAATAAACTTCTTCTTGCCTTCCTAGCTTCATCTTCTTCTTCAACTTGATCGAGAGTTTCATGATTTGTTCAAGTTTTTGCTAGAGCTGGTCTAACTAGAAAGTTTGTCAGCATCTTTACAAGATAGTTTTGCAAAAAACACACTCTATTTTAGTAAATTTCGCCCTAAGAACAGAACAAATCGAATAAGTATGTCTTTTAGCATATATCATATATGTTTAACCAATTTCGAATAGAACCACAGTATGGCACAGTTCAACTGATGGTAATAGATTTTGGGTTCTATAACACTTAATGATCTCTGTCCAGCATAGAATGATGTATGGCAACAATGATGAATGTAATCATTAAAAACTCGAAACAAGATAATATGTTAAGATAAAAACTTAGTCTGGTTGCCATAACAACACAAATCTTAACTGTTAAATTAAGCTATAAACTTAGTCTGGTTGCGATCTCAACTGTTGAGTTAAGCTAAAAACTTACTCCTCTCGCCATCATGTCAATACGGCTGTCCATGTCAACCTTTCCTCAGATTTGGGCAGCAATCGAGCCTAAAAGCAGTCTCTCTTTTAGATTTGGAGCTACCTTTCCTTCACAACGACACGCCCACTTTCCAACATCTGATTACACTCCCTGGATTATACCTGTTTATCCCTTCAGTTTTGGTTGTTAGCTCGAGCCCTGGTTGGTGAAGTTCAGTCACGTGACTAATTCGTTGCTCTCTCACTGGTGGTGAGCTGGTCACGTGACTTTCATCATTATACTCTCAATATGTTCTCTGCTAAGTGTTTAAATGCCATTAAACCATCTAGGTCTCCGCCCCAGGAACATCCCAAACTCCAAAAATGGCACCCTTCTTATACCCTATATATTAATTTGGTTAAATTACATCCTGCAAATCGATCAGAATTCTTCAACCAAGTCTCGGTATAAAATGTCTTAGTTTCTGTTTGGGTGGTTTCTTTTTGTGCCCGTTTGGTGGCGTGCCCTACAGGGTGGCACAAGGATACAGGGGGGGGGGGGGGGGGGCAAAGTCAGTACACATACGTTTGGCCTTTGGGGATTATACCTCAGTCCCTTAAAAACTGTTTGAATTAATTCTTTCAATTCTGGTATGACTTGCTATTATGACCAATACGAGAAATTTATCAAATCAAACAACAGTGATGTTAATTTTGTCCCAATGAACGTTCATTTTCGAGTCTTTAGATATTTTGAATGATTGGATCGAGCCAAATTTTAATGCATTGTGTTTGGCCTTTCAAAATACAGTATACCATCTGCAAAGTTATAGGTCTCAAACATGAAACATGGCTATGTTATAAGACCCAATGTTTGTGTACTGACTTTGCCCCCCCTGGCCCCCTCCCCCCACTGTGTATTGTATGTCATTGAACTTTACCAAAAGAATAAGAGAACGGATTCTCCCCCAGCAGGACGAAGTGTTTTGAGCAGTACAAAATGCCCTCCTCTAATAGTACAATAGACCCACTATTAGTATCACGACCACCGGACCACGAGATCCTGATTTGATTTACAGATCCTTACCGCTTGAATTCACTAATTCCCACCATTGCTAACTACACAGCGTATCACACGTGATATTCATGGTATTTTGTTCTCGTAGTTGAAATCACAGTACATTTCGATTGTCAGTCATTTAACAAGGTCACCTCCATAACTAAAACTGGAACACACCACCTAAAGTTCTATCTGGTCATATGCGTTTAGTTTAGTGGGCAGACAGTATCAAATTTTCTACCCGTGTCTGGTTATACGGTTAAATGTTACAAATCACACGTGACACGGCTTACTTGACTAATTGAGGAAGCGAGCTGAGCTTGACGGTTCCATTTGGTTTGTCACGTGACAGGACGCGACAAGTTACTTATAAATAGAAATACCTGAAAACTGATCTCGACGAATCCTCGATCCTAATCGAATGTTCGACACTGGACAGGCACAGCTTGTGAAAACCTTAGAAAACTTTCTTTGTCAATCCTAAATGTACAGAGTTTTATTTTGTGCAACGTGGCTCGTTATTGAAGGTAAAGGAAGAGCACGTTCAACATCTACTGTGTTTAGGAATAGGGGATTCTAAGGGAAAGAGGCCTCTTTTACTTTGCTGAAATAGAAGTCTTACCTCCCCCGAGGTTTAGAGAAATGTCAAAATTTAAATTTACAGAAATTCCGGACAAGCTGATCCTGACCCAAAATACAAGCGAACCATCGAAATTTTGATTACTTCTGTCTCGCCATAAAATTGCCATATATAGGGCATGTAATTCGGAGTTCGAACCAATCGTTTCCCGGCTAATTTGTTTTGAGTTGTAAATTATTCAGAGTTTCGCTGTTATTATAACGAGGCTTACTGTTAAACGATAGCCTCGTCAACATTTGAAGATTCCTGTAATTCACAATAATAATTGTTAGCTCAATACATTGGTAATATACTGTTGCTGCTAATAGTAACACAGGTTAAAGTGTCAATACTGTGTCGCACGTCAACACACAGATAAAACTTGTAACTCTTTTGACACCACCTGATCAGCGCTAAATTGCACTTGATGCGCTAAATTGCACTGATGAGAATTAAATATTGTGTTCATTAGTCCCACTTATTCAACAGCACATGTCATTGACAGGGAACTTTAAACTGAAATCACTGAAAATACAATATTATTTCAGGGGTTGCACCCCCTAAATTCAGGGGCATACACTGAACCAAAACAGAACAAACGAAGTGACTCCTTCATAAATATAACTCCCTCTTAATCACTTCCCAAACCCTGTCTAATGTGATTATTCATTTTTTGGTATCGCAACAACCAGAATTACCAAATAAGTTTACTTTTAGTCCGAGTTTGCAAGGTGGCCTCCTTTTGGGCTGATTGCAAGCTGGTAAGGTACCGTATTTCGAACCTCCCTTTCTCATATAAGACAGAGCTACCGCTATTTGCTTGTACAGGTCACGAGGGCCCATCACGTGGTGTGTTTTGAGTTTTGTGATTGGGCGTCTCGGTTCGGTTATATGTGATTATACCAAATAAGGTAATGTTGTAAAGACAATGTTGGAGGTGGTGGTAGGCTCTCGCTAAATGTCTGTCTGTCACGTGACTCAGATCAGCCAATTAGAGCTCGACCCTCCTACCAGATTTTAGAATCCGCTAAAAGCTCTATAAAAGCATTTGCGCTCTATTTTTATGGATTGATTCGACCAGCCAATCCAGTCTTTCTCTCGACGTCACGTGACTTTTTCCAGCAAATCAGATTCGCTGACTTTGCCTTTAATAAAGAATACTGCATCGCATCGAATTTAGGAAAGTGGCACTGCTTAAAAGGTTTTATGAACACTTGCTTATAGGATAAATGAGAATCTTGCTCCCTAGTAGGGCGGTTAGGAGAGATACCTCCCTTAAATGGAGCCTGATGTTGGGAACCTTTAATTTGGGGTGGGAGGTGAGGAGGAGTTGGTGTGATAAGTGTAAATATGACCAAAGTTTTATCAATATTATTATATCATGTGGTATGCTGCACTTCAGCCTTACTGTTTGATGATATTTACTAAGTAAAAACTCTGCTCAGTTGAACTGTGACACGTTGCTTAGGGAGCTGGGAGGCTTATCAGAAAACGTTTCGTCTTAAATTGTCCTGTCCCACCTAGGCGACTTAGGTGGGTGGACTATTTGGAGTTCCTCGTCGGCCAAGTCATTGTTGGTTATTCTGTTAGTGCTCCACACCGGAGGCAACTTAGTCCAAATTTAACAAACTATCCCTGTCAAAAACCCTATTTTATAAAAGATTCATACTTTATTCTACTATAAAACACCCAAATATTGGCGAATCTTTCAAAGAAAACCACAAATATTTCCCTGAGGGCCAGGGTTATGGTTCTTTATTATCAGGGTATCCTCCTCAGTTTACTTCTCCTTACCACGCCTTTTTCACTTTCTGACCGGTCGGGAAATATTCCTATTTTGAGCGGTCGCTGAGGTGTTTTGTCCTATTCTTGCGAGAGCAGATATGGATGTATTTATTTTAATCTATTGTTCTCTTTACCCTCCCGTGGATCAAGAGTAAACACCCAGCTATCGGAACATGGTCACGTGCCTAAAATCCCGGCCTTCTCATTGGTGCGTTCTGTCACGTGCGGGAATTTGCTGCGATGCTATTGGTCCGTCTCCTTGGTGATCAGGTTGGCTAATTAAGCGTTGGTCGCGGTCGATTGTTAGTCAATTTGGTGCCCTTTTGTGGACTGATCAGACCAACTTTTGTCCGGTTAATTGAGAGCTCCCTGCCCATGTCACGTGATGTACCTGTCACGTGATGTATCGACTTTCTGTGTCACGTGTCTTGAGGTGGAGATGTGATCATAATTCCTTGCTAGTCTTTAATCCGGAAACATGCCTTGTCGTAGCCCCGTAGCCGGGTGACTGGAGTTGATAAATGACCACAATATCGGGAATCAAGAAGGGGAATTAGGGTTAAACAAACTATTATCGACATTATTAATACATACTTCTAGTATAACATTTGAGATCGACCGTGTTTTAAAGTTGAAATAAAGTTAACAGAAATCACAAAGAGACCTCAAGTTTGAGTTCTAGACCCATTAAACCGTGTTTCTTGTTGAAAGAATTCTCTTGCGCCGGTTTTTCTTGAATTCCGGTTAATCAAGGTTCTCAGCTGCAAATAAAGCACTGATGATTGTGCGCCGAACCGTTGGAGAAGGGAGGAGGGGCTATTAAGAAACTCGTTTTTGGGAAGTAAGATACTGACTGCTAATTTTCATTGACCTTCAGGTTCCTGGTGGAGATGAGAGACACATGTACAACAACTCAAACGATCCCAACCTTAACTCTGGTTCTCCCCCTCACTCATTTACTGGTATAAATAAATTGTAACTTTTATTACATATCTTATACATATTTTATACATATTTTGTACATATTATTTTAGTTCAATGAGTTATTATTGGTTATATATCTAACTTCTCTGTTATTAGATTTCTGTGGGGTTCGTGTACTCTAAATTTATGATCAAACCAATTTATGTGATATTGTTACAGGATTACCTATGCCCCACGGTTCATTCCCAATGAACATGAGCTTCATCCCTGCGACCACGAAAGGGGATTCAAGTGAGTGTGAAAAATAGAATTGAAGGATACAAACTTGGTCGGTATATAGCCGTTTAAAAGAAATAGTTACAGTTATAGCTAGACCTAAAGCATTAGGCAGTATCCACCATTACTCATATTTTAACAACATAAGATAACAACATAATATAACAACATAAGATAACAACATAAGATAACAACATAAGATGACAACATAAAATAACAGCATAAGATAACGTTCCATATTTCAGATAACAACATAAGATAACAGCATACGATAACGTTCCATATTTCAGATAACAACATATCAGCACAAGGTTACACGGTTCAACCTCCCCTCTCCCAACAACAGCTCGGTAACTTCGGAGCCATCTTCCCACCTCACACTTCCTACTCGACCTCACCTCAAAACATGCCTGGTAAGTCTTACTAGTTATTTAATTAGTTATTTATTTAGTTAGTTAATAGTAAGTTATTTAATTGTCAGAACAAGTTACTAACAATAATAATATTAGTTAGAATAAGTAGAAATAATTAGAATAAGTTACTAACAATAATAATATTAGTTAGAATAAGTAGAAATAATTAGAATAAGTTACTAACAATAATAATATTAGTTAGAATAAGTATAAATAATTAGAACAAGTTACTAACCCTACTTTTACCTCAGGTACCATGAGTCACGCAATGTCAAATCACATGGTCCGCATGCCGGGCAGTCTCAGTCCTTCTCATAGCATAGATATAGGTAATTCTTAATCTTACATATTAAGATGTTTAAATGTTATACTTAAATGTTGTTTTGTGTAAGTTTTGTGTAAGTTTACATAATTAAACATGAGCTAAAACTTACCAGTTTGTGTAACTTTACATAGTTACATCAGCCCTAAACCTGACCACCCATTAAACACGAGATATACACCTTGTCAATAACTATTGTCTAAACACTCCTTAATATCTCTCTGCACCAACATTGTAACTGTATATCTCATTCCCAAATGTAAGGGGGGTCCAACCCCATTTTTGGACATGGGCAAAAATGGACAAAAATGGGGTTGGACCCCCCACGATGTACACCAACATTGTAACTGTATATCTCATTCCCAAATGTAAGGGGGGTCCAACCCCATTTTTGGACATGGGCGAAAATGGACAAAAATGGGGTTGGACCCCCCCCCCCCACGATGTGACTTGTGTTTATAACTGTAAAATGCTGTCAGTGTTAATTTTTGTTCTGACATCCTCATCGACGTGTTCTATGATTTAGTTAATTAATGTTTTATACTTCTCCAGTAATTTATTGCCTGTCTTCAAGGCAATGGTGTTATGTTTTAGATAACTTTAACACAACATTTTCATTATATATCGGAAATAAGCTAGTGGTAGTTTTTGATCATGAACGTTGAGCTATACTGAAAAATAACACTATCATTCTATTATAGCCTTATATTAACCATAATTTGTAACATAAATTTAGAAAACTATAACCTGGCAGGTAATATGGTGACATTACAAAGAAACCCAGTCAGCACACAGCCGAGCGTTTCAGAAAGTCCAGCTTTTTACTCTAACTCTCCCAGGTTAATATAACCCTCATAAAAAACCTTTCCTTGTGTTTGTATTGGTTACTCAGTTGCTCATAGTCATGCTCAATCCAACAGCACTTCATGCCAACATCTGACATAAATTGTGCGGGAAGAAACCTTAGGAATTTGGTTTTGTGAGGATTTATACCAATAATTAAACTATGCTATTTTTAGGCATTTATTTTCGAGCTCATAAGTATTTAATTTTTACAAAGAATTTTTGCAATCATGTAGCAAGCTTATTATTAGTAATTTAATAAATTAGTAATTTAATAAATTAGTAATTTAATAAATTAGTAATTTAATAAATTAGTAATTTAATAAATTAGTAATTTAACTGTAAAACTTTTGCAGGTCACGTGATGAAAATGACAGCAAACACGACATAAAACAGCACGAAAGTGATGGTGAAACGCGCGACAGTTGCTAGGCAACGGCTCCTTTTTTGATTTCCTTAAAAAAGGAGAGATTTATTTTATCATGGTATAACACAGAAAGGGGTACCTTCAAGAAGCACACGATAGAATTCTGATCACATGATCATCTCAGAAATGTTAGTCAAGGACTGCGAATGATTTGTTGTGTAATATTAAGATGGAGGTCACGTGACTGTTTGATTATATTTGAAGAGTGTTATTATTATCTGCTCACTGGATTTCAGTTGACTTGAAAACTTTGCGGTCCATGGCTCCGTTTGGTGCCGTGCAGTGTGTATTTTTGTTCTTTTTTCCCGCGTTTTTTCTGAAAAGTGAACACTTGCTTTTTGATTTTTATATTTGTGATAATCTGTTTATAAATCTCAAAATGCTTATGATTATCTTTTAACGACATTTTCCCGCTGAAATTTAGCTAAAACGGAAATTGTTTCATTTTGCAAATGGTTGGAAGAAGTGGGCATGTGTTTTGCTAGAATGATATTGTTGAACAGATTTTGAGAAGTGAGCGCTATCGATCTCATTCACATATAACGTAATCACTGAGGGGGAGGGAGGGGGTTTACAGATGATTACTCTATAAGCGCAATTTTAACTGATTACGGAGGGAGAAGGGGAGGAGGGGTGTTAAAAGTTGGCCATAAAGTGATAATGAAATATGTGAACGACCCCTTATAGCCCACAGTACTATTCTTAATTAATCTTTTTTGGTTTTAATTTTCGATCTGTAAATCAACAGTCATTTCGTTTGTATTCGTACATTTAGTTCAATATCTAATAGGAGATTTATGAATTGCTTCACAGACAGAATTTCAAGTACTTAAAGGTTTTTCACCTGAATATTTTGGCATTTTAATAAAATGTGCCTGCTGTTTTCTAATTAATTATTGGGATGAAGATGGGTGAAAGTGAATTCCGACCTCTTTTACCTAAGTCATTTTAAAAGGGTAATTTATTGTAATTTATTGTATGTGTTTCACATATGAGTCGATCAGCGGTTTCGTTTTGATCAAAGCTACATTTTTATTATTGTCCCTGAAGAATGAGTTTAATTGTTTCTCAACCTGGCCTGAAATTAACAAACTTGACTAATTTGGTATCTCTACTCCCATTCTGAATTCTGGTATCGGTTCAATCGATAATCTTTGACACCCTGCGAATGTCGTCATTTCATTGGCAGAAATCATAAATCCGAGTTAATGATTGCTCTTGATTGGTGGACTGAGAGCACATATCTTAAGTGCAGCAGAGCATGTGATAGTTGCGTAATGATAAGTGGTGCAATTATACACCGATATGAGGCAATTATAACAGATTCTTGGATTTAGCCCTCGGTCAAACCGCCAGGAGATCTTAACGTGTTCCACGTTAGATTCTCCCTGAGTAGAAAACTCTTCGTATTTTGAGAGGTCCCAGAGTTAAGCGGCGACATTTTATTAAATTGAAGAACTGAAGTCATATCGTTAAGAAGATAAGTGAACAATTGGAAGTAATGCCTTAATTTGGCTCTGTCTTGAAAAGGTATTATTACTGTTAGGAAAGGAATAAACCATACCAAATTTCCGTATCGGCTTTGTCCTAATATGGCCAAAAAACTAGCAGTTTTAGCATAAAATTTATATGCAAAGTGATTTACTTTTCGCGCGAAAGAGACGCGCGTTAAACGCGCGCACGTACATTTATTTGTCAGTATAAACATAATAGACCCTTTGGCTTCATTGTAAGTTGCTGACTAATTTTCACTCATGCAATTATCTAATATTTAAATTTTTTCGAACAAAGTTTTACTAACTTTTACTGCATTCCATGGTCGGCCAAACTTTCTCAATCTTCGTTCGATAATATCAGCGCGCGTCGCAAATAGTATTGTTTAAATTTTCCCGCTTTGAATCGAGCGCTTTGTCAACGCGCATATAACCTGACCTCCTAAATTACGTATAACATTGTATGTCCAAATTTTTGTTTCGATCAAACGTTTCCGACTGTTTTAAAAACCTCAACGACGGTGTTTTTCAAATTGGTGTCTCTCAAACTTTGGATGGCAAAAACTTAGTGAAGGTTAGATTTTGGGGAAGGAAACAGTTTAAACTGGTACTTCAAAAACACTACGTTGTATGTGTTTCTGAAACTATCGTCCGTTATTTGCTGCTGGAAACGTGTTCAAGTAATTTAACAAGTTGCTTCGTATCATGCCTCGATCTTTCACGCATTCCAATCTCTTTCAGATCCAAGATGGTGAGCTATCAATACGTCTTGTTCTGTCTTATCTTCAGTCTTGTTTGTTCATTGGAACTTCCTGCCTGCTTCAAAAATGTAAGTACACATGAATTACTTTACGTAAATAATTAGTTTTAACGATTTAAAGTGAGTAAAAACAACTCATTTCATTTTAAAAGTACGATGAAATTGTGATGTATCTGAAAAGCATTTTATTGTCTACCTCATTGTATCCACTACATTATCATGCATATGTGAACAGTTCTCCTCAGTAGGCATCATGTACAATGTACATTAGGCATGTAGTTCTGTGTGGCCAATCTGGCCATTGAAATAGCACAATTTTCCATTACAGGAATAATTACATCTTAAATTCACGATGCTTCGACAATCAACACATGTTTTCATTGTATCAATAAAGCAGCACTAGCTCCTTTTCAAAGCGCACCTCAATTGTCCTGACTCTCTTGATATGATTCTTCTTCGGCGGCTTTCTTTGGCATTTTTTCACATCAAAACTGTGATGAGAGTTTACATATTTCGCTATCACTTTTTTGCCAATATTTAACTCTCTTCACCCACCTATACACTTTTCGATTTAGTTCAACAACAACAACAACGACAACAATGCGCTTGAGACATTTCAATATGTATCAAAAATACAGGCGGCTCATTGTATGGAGCTGCTATATAAACATTAAACATCCTTACATACCTCGCATACCTCGTATACCTTGTTTAACTACCTCTCTACCTGTCACTGTTCTCTCTTCAGTTATTTGCGTGTCTTGTTAGGGTTCAGGCATTGATTTGACCTCGTTTTCGTGCTGTTATATCCAATCTCTTATAAATCTATTTGGTTATGTTCTTATTGCTTCCCGATTACAAAGTTGAGATCAAGGTACATTCCTTAATTTTAGCATCTGATTAGTGATTAATAAATCTTAGCCGACTTTCGCCATCATTTTAGCTCATGAATGTGGATTCTGGTTAGGAGGCGAGGCATATTTTTTACAGTGATGGGGGGGGGGGGGGCTGACCATATTAAAGTATATTAAAATATATTAAAGTATATTAAAGTATATCCCGGCCCTAAATTGGGGAAAAACCTACATTTTAATATACTTTAATATTGCCAGCCCCCCCCCAGTGATTCTAAGGTTTGATTGGTCAATAGTGAATGCTGATTGCTGATTGGTTGATTTGTGTCACGTGTTGAAAAATATATTATATTACTACGTATAATTATTGTGTGGCAGCATCCAAAAGTGATACGCTTACAGCTGTAGCTGTCTCTTAAACAACTGATAATTCTCCAACATGCAATGTATTTGGAGCATTTTTTGTTACTTACTAAATTGTTCTTCTGTCATTATCTCAAAAAAGCTACCTTATTATTAACTGTACCAGTGTAGCCTTTAACATTTTTCTACTCCGATAATCGTCCCCATTGTTCGCACAGGAAATCCTAGCCCTCGTGGCTTGTATTGTTATAGTCAACATTATATTCTGGAAACTGTGTGATCTTTAATGTATCATGCGCACTTAGCCAATTACAACTATACACGTTGGATATTGAGAATTGAGAGAGTACACGTCTGCTAGTACAAGAGGTACAACTAAGTATGTACAGTTACTCACCGTACAGTTTGTTAAAGTTACAATTCTGCATACTATTACTATTATTCTGTTACTTTAGGAGATTGTTTCTGTTGATTTTTTTTGATCTTATCAAAGAAAAGAGGACGCCCAAGTATTACTTTGATTTCTTCAAATATCTGTTGTTACAGGAGAACCTCTATATACCAAGCCTCTCTAGTCTCTCTAGTCTCTCTAGTCTCTCTAGCCTCTCTAGTCTCTACAGTCTACACCAGGCAGTCTAGTCTCTCTAGTCTCTCTAGTCTCTCCAGTCTCTCTAGCCTCTCTAGTCTCTCTAGCCTCTCTAGTCTCTCTAGTCTCTCTAGTCTCTCTAGCTTCTCTAGTCTTTACAGTCTACACCAGGCAGTCTAGTCTCTCTAGCCTCTCTAGCCTCTCTAGTCTCTCTAGTCTCTCTAGTATCTACAGTCTACACCAGGCAGTCTAGTCTCTCTAGTCTCTCTAGTCTCTCTAGTCTCTCTAGTCTCTACAGTCTACACCAGGCAGTCTAGTCTCTCTAGTCTCTCTAGTCTCTCTAGTCTACACCAGGCAGTCTAGTCTCTCTAGTCTCTCTAGTCTCTCTAGTCTCTCTAGTCTCTACAGTCTACACCAGACAGTCTAGTGGGCACCTCCATATACTGGTTCTTTCTCCCGAATCTTTCAGCCAATAAGCCCTTGTATGGCCAAGAAATATGATTTATCAGAATATCTAAATTGCATTTGATGGGTAATGTTAGTACATATCGAGCTGTAATCCTTCGCCTCACGGCGCAATAAAGGCATATAATGAGACACTTGACAGGTTATTTAAGAGGCTAGAGATGGTTCCAATATTAGGTGCACTCAGAATGTCTATTTCTATGTTGAAAGTCAGTTTTCTGTATTGCGTTCTACTTCTATCACAGTGCACTGCGCAGTGAACATTGATGTATTCCGTGTATTGTGTTTAGTACTGTACTTCACAGTTATTTTGTTGAACACAAGATACAATGTTCAGTGTATAGTGCTATACTAGTTATTGTGTTGAATACAAGATACAATGTTCAGTGTATAGTACTATACTAGTTATTTTTATTGAATAAAAGATACAATGTTCAGTGTAAAGTGCTATACTAGTTATTGTGTTGAATACAATATACAATGTACTGTACAATGTATTATGTGTGTGTATGGACTATGGCTCTGCACATTGCATAATGCATAACAACTAATGAGTCCAGCACGTCAAACCAGAAGAAATAGAAAAGCATCTTTTGCTTTGTTAGTGTTCAATAGTTCTTAAACAGTACACTGTTATTATCAGTTGTTATCTACTCTGTTATCAGTTGTTATCTACTCTGTTATCAGTTGTTATCTGCTCTGTTATCAGTTGTTATCTACTCTGTTATCAGTTGTAATCTACTCTGTTATCAGTTGTTATCTACTCTGTTATCAGTTGTTATCTACTCTGTTATCAGTTGTTATCTACTCTGTTATCAGTTGTTATCTACTCTGTTATCAGTTGTAATCTACTCTGTTATCAGTTGTAATCTACTCTGTTATCAGTTGTAATCTACTCTGTTATCAGTTGTAATCTACTCTGTTATCAGTTGTAATCTACTCTGTTATCAGTTGTTATCTGCTCTGTTATCAGTTGTTATCTACTCTGTTATCAGTTGTTATCTACTCTGTTATCAGTTGTTATCTACTCTGTTATCAGTTGTTATCTACTCTGTTATCAGTTGTAATCTACTCTGTTATCAGTTGTTATCTACTCTGTTATCAGTTGTTATCTGCTCTGTTATCAGTTGTTATCTACTCTGTTATCAGTTGTTATCTACTCTGTTATCAGTTGTAATCTACTCTGTTATCAGTTGTAATCTACTCTGTTATCAGTTGTAATCTACTCTGTTATCAGTTGATACTGCAATTATTGTTACTGCAGTACTGCCAACAGTTGTTACTGGAAGACCTTTAATATAGTTGTTTATTATTCAGGAAGTACTGTCATGTTGTATGTAAATACTGTGTGATTCAGTGTACCTTTGATCATTACACCTTACTGCACATTTGGTATGTTCCATTAACGAGTCCTACAGTAAATTTGTAATTTTAGAAACCTGTAAATTAAGGTTTGACACTTGACAGTTCACAAAGTGTACCCAGATGTTCAATAAAAGTCTCTAACCGTACTACTAGACTACTGTATTACACTACCGTACTAGACTACACCAGGTGATGAGCTGATCTGTATTGATTGTTTTCTGATAATAATTTCCCTAGGTTTTTTATTATGGTCCATATCGCTTCTTTTTATCTGGTTTAATCGGTCTTCTTAAAACATGGACGCAGTTTAGCCATGCTGGAGAGTGGAGAACCTACTTTCATATACATACCAGGAATGCAATGTTAGTCTGAAATTATCATTCCTACTTCGTGACAGTGGCACGTGTTCAATCCAGACTATTTGATGTATGACACAATCTTACTTGTTATTTTGCTATTTGTTGCGAATAACAGGGGACGAACATGCCCGAGCATGTTAACCTCTTTATTTTATAAATGATTGGTATCAATACCGGGATGGCCCTGTCCCGTCACTAACTACAATACTACAATAGTAGAACAAATTACCTACTAAAACTGCTTCCTAGCAGATCATCCTAGTCTCATATCACTTTAGTTTGTGTATGTACTATGTTATAGTCCTAAATCTTAAACTTGGCGTTCGTTGGTCATTGATGAGGTATTTCCTCTGCTATTTCGTTGCATTATGTTATTATGTTATTATGGTGAAACTAGCGGGTTGTATTGCGATGAATGAGGGCTTGTAAAATTAAACATATTGACTCAGTAACTTTTACTATAAATTTAATAGATTTGTAGTGTTGTAATTAGTTTAAAACTAATTAAAAAGAGCTACGAGTGCGCCTAGCATCTAGCGCCTAACATCTTTGTGTTAACCCAGAGGAATCTACGATACCATTGTTCATGGAGGTGTTTTTTTACAAGTTCTCTTTTACAAGATCTCTTTTACAAGTTCTCTTTTACAAGTTCTCTTTTACAAGTTCTCTTTTACAAGTTCTCTTTTACAAGTTCTCTTTTACGAGTTTTCTTTAGATCGCAGTTAATGAAAACCAACAGGTTGTGCTATGTAATCGTTCAACTTTTAGTTCTCAGATTACTTTCATCTTTCCAGGTAAATCATAATTTATCTTAAGAATTAAACCTCGAATTTCTTACTATTTTAATATTACCACCTCTCTGAAAAGCTCGACAAAAATCTCTATAAAAAACTAGATATTCGTTCATCGTTACAGTTACGTGAAGATGTGGACAAGTAGCGCAACTGTTACTGTAGAAATTAGAATATCATATGTAGACAGGATCCACTCAGACACAGCTAAATCTCACATAACCTCACTTAACCTCACTTAACCTCATTTAACCTCACAGTTGCGTGGACAAGTAGATGACTGTTACTGTAGAATATCATATGTAGACAGGACCCACTCGGACACAGCTAAACCTCACATAACCTCATTTAACCTCACAGTTGCGTGGACAAGTAGACGACTGTTACTGTAGAATATCAGATGTAGACAGGACCCACTCAGACACAGCTAAATCTCACATAACCTCACTTAACCTCATTTAACCTCATTTAACCTCACAGTTGCGTGGACAAGTGGACGACTGTTACTGTAGAATATCTGATGTAGACAGGACCCACTCGGATAGCTTTGAGAATCTAGCAGAATTACTGAAGAGAGACTACTTCAGATTCTACAAGGTTTACAGATCTTACTCATCATATTAATTATAACATGAAACCCGCTGGTTTGCAGATATATTTGTGAAATAAATATATACGTATAATTTTTCGATATTACAACCTGAATGTAAAATATTTGCCAGGTAAACCTTGACAAGCCGTGTGAATTCTGGGAAGATAGAGGGGTGTGTACACGCAGCACATGTGCTCTTAAAACCTGCACTGAGGTAAGGAATCATTGGTGGTACGTCATGACACGTGGTGTGACGTCATGCCACGTGGTGTGACGTCATGACACACGGTGTGACGTCATGACACGTGGTGTGACGTCATGACACGTGGTGTGACGTCATGCCACGTGGTATGACATGTGGGTTTTGGGAGGACCTCGTATACTGCTGAGTTTTACAGCTGCAGTACATGTTATCAATTTAATCAAGTAAATTCCTCATGTAAATTGCCTTTTTTGACAGGCGGAGGTACCCTCGGGGTTAGCAGAAAACACAAACAAGTCAACAATACCAACATGCGAGGAGGAGAGGGAACTCAGCAAGATCAACAATTTTATAAGGTAATTACTAACCTTCTAGAGGGAGGGGGGAGGGGGCATCTACCTGGAACATTCCTCATAGTCCCAATACAATGTAGACTATGCGCTGAGAATGTTCGAGAATAAGCTTCGATATCTCAGACGACACGTGCCCAGGTGGAGCCGCGCATTTCGATTGACTGTTAAGTATTAGTTCCCTAATACAAGTAGGTTATTTAATTATTATAATATAAGTATTGTTATTTGTTGCCTCAAGTGAATGAATATGGTGCACACTGTGACGGTATTACTGTTTGTGGGAATCCCATTATTTGGATTTACTGCTACAGTTATATCGCGAAAATGCTTTAAAACTGTCTCAATCTGCTAATAACTTTCCCCTCCAGGGCTCAGCGCGTGGTCAATTTATCACCGATTAAATTAATCATTGCTAATTCAACTAAACAATATTATGTCCATTTCAGCGATGACCGAATAGCTGCCCTTCAGAATCTGGAGAAACAGGAGTCTGATAATATTAACTTTTGTGTACAAGAAGGTAAGAAAATGGCATCAAGGTTGGTATGTAAACACTATTTACCTTACTCGGGAATATTATGACTGGGATAAAGTGGCGGGTTTTGGAAAAGTCCGCCATATTTTTCCCGGTCATTAATTTTCCCAGTCATAAATTAACCCGCTATAATGTTCCCGAGTAAGGTAAACTAATAGTAATACATTTTGATGTTTGGTAGGTTTTGGAAAAGGTATACAGTTATACTTTACTAGCCTTGATTTTCGGGCAAGTGCAATTTGGAAAGTCTACATACCGACATGTGCGGCGCGCGCGAACGTTATTTTGTATGTAATCACACAAATTTTCCAAACAATCGTCTACGGCCACGCTAATAAACTGGCAAATCTAATAAACTGGCAAATATTTTCCAAAAAATAAATACTAAAAACACCTAGTTTATAGTTATCCATTTTTAAAATTAACTTTGTTCATCACAGATGAAGATTCTGAGAAGGCGGAGTTCTACGACTTGCTTCAGAATCCTGAGAGTTATACGGGATACAGCGGCGAACCTTCCTGGAGGATCTGGAGAAGCATTTATGAGGAGAACTGTTTCAAGTTAGTAGTAATTTATTGCAATTATGTTGAAATTTGGTTATTTCCACTTGCAGCTATCATTTTGTCTGAACAAAATGATACGACGAAATAATTGAAAAATAAAATGTATAATTTTTCTGTCACAACAGCTTCGTCAGAACTTTCTTATCATTCAATTTTTGAAAAATTCATCAAATCGTCTGCCAAATAAAATTAGAAAATACCGAAACCGCAGGCTTTAAAATAGAATTTAAAACGTCCAGTTTGATAAATAAACAGATCTTAAAGAACGAAGTCTGTAAACTGTAAACTTACCATTAATAGATATTTTCATCTGTGAAAATATCTATTTCTCTACTCACTTTGTGATTACCCCATTCCAATCACGAAGTCATCGTCATCAGCGTAACACATCACGTCACCGGTCCTGTCGGATGGCCTCACAAATCCACCTACTTCCCTCTTTCCTGGATATCCTGCTTGCCATTTGTCGATCCTGTAGTGTATAATGAAGTACTTGTCTACGTAAGCCTCTCTCGAAGGGATCTGGATACCTCCAAAGAGTTCTGGACAGCTTGAGGATGCGTGGCTTTCAATGTTCCAAGTGACTGCAAACGACCGATTGCGCTGAAATATAACTTCATTTTGATTTCATGGAGACAGTTGTGCATGAATTGAAGTTCTCTTAGGTGGTGGAAATGTGTAAAATTTGTGATGTAAAGAACGGTTGATTGCAGATCCAATACTTACTCCAACGTTGATATGAAAGATGCTCTTAGTAAATCGTTGGCTTCCACAACCAGGGACGTTTACGTAGAAATCTTCAGCGCCTAAGAGGGTCAGAGGGTGTAAGTGATTATATTTATTATTCTATCTTCCTGTAGTTTGGAAGATGGAATGCAGGACCAAGGGCTATGGATAAATATTAGGCGAATTACTACTTCGCATTAATACTGAAAAAAATATGCTACTTCAAATGGCATGTTTTCAATCCTGCAGATATTGCAAAGTATTACCTCGAAGTGCACTGACTTTAATTCCGCCAGTTGCAACGTGGAAGAGGTTTGTTCCAGTAATATATACTGAACCAGCCAAGAAGAACTGGAGGTTCCCCTCTAAGATCATGCCCTCATACTGGGGTGTGCTCCCCCAGGCAATGTTCATGGTCAGCTGGAAGTTCTCCCCCATGCGGTACCCCAGTTCGGAACGGTGCCAGTAGATACCGTTTTTGCTAGGTTGGTCGGGGAAGCTGAAGATTTATTTAAAAAAGTTAATCTTCAAATTTAACCCCCTAAAGTACTTGGTACTCAAAATAAGATTATGGGAGAAATGATTATGTGATCGTTTCATTGATATTCTTTTAAACTTTCATCACTCTAAAGAAAAAGAGGCTCTTTTAACGACACTCTTAAAACGCTCGACATACCCTCTCCCACATTTCATGGTCCCCTCCTCAAGACCTCACCTACCCCCAAGAAAGACACCACAGCCAAAACAGTGATCAACCTCTCTGGACAGACCCTCTCCACAGCTGAAACTGACGTCCTCTCCCTTGGACTGAAGTTTGTCCCGACACCCACCTCAGATCCTACCCCCGACCTGGCTCCCCTCATACAGAATATCACTAAACAACTAGGAGAAGGCATGGAAGCCTCAGCCACATATCAGGTCACCTCTGTATTATCTAAATTTGACAATAAACGTGACATGACCACCGACAATTTGACTCCACAACAACGTACCGCTCTTAAATCTTTAAAATCTAAGAAATCTGAATTGAAATTTCTTCCTGCTGATAAGGGCAACGCCACTGTTGTACTGACTCACGATCAATACATAACCAAAGTTACCGACCACTTATCCTCAGGTAGTTACACCCTCTTAACGAAAGACCCCACTCAATCCGTTACCACTAAACTACAGAAAGTCCTCAAGAAACTACACACCGACAAGAAGATCACGACCGACCTATACCACAAGATGCGCAACCTACATCCTAGATGGCCTCAACTTTACGGACAACCTAAGATACACAAACCCGGCGCACCTATCCGTCCCGTAGTCAGCTTCTACAACACCCCCCTCCAAGCCCTCCACAAAGTCCTCGCATCTTTCCTCAAACCCCTAGCCCAGAACCCCTTACGCCTCAAAGACTCTTCCGACTTCAAACATCGCTTCGACTCCTCTCTCAATCCCTCCTTCCACTACCACGCCTCCTTAGACGTCCAATCCTTGTACACCTCCTGTGACATGCGCCTAGCCCTCAAAACTGTCATCTCCTCCTTTGAACAGAACCCCTCTCGTCTTCCCTCCAATGTCACCACCACCACCATAGGCTCCCTTATCAACTTTTGCCTTGACAACTCATACCTTGAATTCAACGGCTCCTTCTACTCCCAAGACGAAGGTGGTACAATGGGATCCCCCCTCATTGTTGAACTAGCTGAAATCCGCCTTGCTGAAATCGAGACCTTAGCTTTATCCTCATGTCCTGACCCTCCGAACACTTACTCCCATTTCGTTGACGACGGCCTTGGATCTTTCAGAGACAGAAACCACGCAGAATCCTTCCTTACATTCCTTAACTCCCTTACTGAAGACCTCAACTTTACCCAAGAACATCCCTCTACAGACGGAACTATACCCTTCCTTGACGTTCTCATCCACCCTGACAAATCCACATCAGTCTACAGAAAACCCACCCACACCAACCTCTACACCAAGTACTCCTCCTGCACCACCAACTCATCTAAGAACGCAGTCATCCGATCACTGACCAGAAGAGCCCACAACATCTGCTCACCCCAACACCTTGACGACGAACTCCAGACAGTACGACACGTTTGCCTCCAGAACGGCTTCCCTCCTCACCGCATCACCACCATCATGGACGAAGTACAACGGAAATTCACCAACCCCTCTCGCCACCAATCCCTAGCCTCATTCAACCGACAGACCCGTGAACATGCCCTTAGTGTTTCTCTTCCTTTCCATCCCTCCCTATCCAAACCCATCTCCAAGATACTCGGACAACACGACATCAAAGTCACCCACTCCTCTGCTACCTCCCTCCGCAACCTCCTCACCAAAACGAAGACCACACCCCCTACTCACCTCACTCCCAACACCATCTACGAAATATCCTGCTCACAGTGCCCCTCCAAATACGCCGGACAGACCTACAGACCCTTGGTCCACCGCATGAAAGAACACGAACGATGTTACAGACTCAACAACGCCATCGACGAATCCACAGACAGAATCAAATCAGCCCCTGCACATCATGCCCTGACCACCGGCCACACCATCTCCTGGAACAACATCGAAGTCCTCAAATCCCTCACCTCACGCTCCCAACTTGACCTCACAGAACACGCAGCTATACAAATACGACAACCAGCTATGAACAGAACAGACCGCGCACCCAAATGTAGCTCCCTCTGGGACCCCATTCTTCCTAAAATTGCCAAATCCTTAAAGTCCAGACCATCTGGCATTTCCTTCTCAACCTCAACAGAAGACTAAATTTTTATTGACATTGTACTGTAATTTTCACTTTCCCACCCACACCTCCCCCACCCTCCATCCCTGACACCACTCAATCACATATAAGCATTGTCCACCACATCACATTCAGCTGACGACGATTAACACATGTTTATTGAAAGCTTCTACAAGTTAAATCATCGTATCTCTTATATGTTTTTAACCCAACTCCACTCAGGCTCTTTTATAACGAAACTAATTTTCAAGCTAGTTTGTAAGCTAGTTTATAACGGACCTAGGTGTGAACCAGCTGGTTGAAGCTTGAGAGATCCCTAAGAGCAACGTCACCAGAACTGTCAGACGAATAGAACTAACGGCCATGGTTAAGATTATTTTGAAACCTAATAAGAAAGACTGTGATGAGATGGCTACAATACCGTAGGGAATAAAGGGAAAATTTCTAAAATAATAGAATAGAAAAGTGTTTGTTGTTATAACAGAAAAACTACTCGAATTAAAGCAGAGAAGCGTTCTCCTTTGGAGGTTTGAATGGATCTCATGAGCTGGTTGGGTCGTGTAAGGACTCTCAGCTCAGTGACAGACTGAATCAATATTAGAGCAACCCTTATATTTTAAAGCACCCCGGCTAGTCTGTGGAACATTTTCACCGCCCAAAACTTGGAACTTTCGTCGTCCTTATCTAGACGACTAATGTGTTATCTTAATTGCCTTGCAGGTGCGTCGTGAGAAATTAGAGGGCTAAATGCAGAAAATATGATTGCATTAGTCCCAATATCACATGAACTTGAATTCAATTTCAAGTTCTTCAGGGAGAATTCAGAATCACCTTGGCGGTTCACAGTGCCTCATATTTTATAACTTTTATTAAAATCAACAGAACAACATTTTAATAAATATTAGCAATCTCACGGGTGGAGTCCAGAAAATTCGTTTAAAATGTAATTATATTCACATAACGAATTATGATAGCATTGTGATCTTGATGAGTTAACTTCCGAATTCAACGCAATTCATCAGAAGCTTAGCTACCGCAATACATTTTTTACCAAGATGAATTTTATCCGAAATTTGTAATGAATCCAAACATATCATACGTATTCAATGTTCTATTCCGAAACAAATGTTCATTGTTTTTAATATCATGGATACTAAATTTTGTTTCTTACCTTAATAAAGTAAAAAAGCTTCATAAGAACTCAAATTATTTTGAAATTGTAATCAATTAACTAATTGTTTGATTAATTTATTATAACGTGACAATAAGTCCTGTATATCGACAACAGCACAATCTCTGGAAGAGATCTGCTGTTTAAAATTATTTAACCAAAATTTGTCTCAGCCTTTTAAAGAAGAGCTGCACAAGTTCTCTTCAATTTTAAGTCTTTTAATAATAATATTATTATAATAATAACTTTTATTTGTAATAATTTTTTATTTGTTTCAGACCGAAGAAAGACAGTTTATTTCTAGATCTGACACACAAGTCAATCAACTATATGTGTAAAGAGAAGCGTGTATTCTTTAGAGCAGTCTCGGGATTACATTCCTCAATCAGCATACATCTAGCTGCTAAGTACCCAGTACAAGGTTAGGATATTTGCTAAATACCCCGTATTTAATAAATATTTGCTAAATACTCCGTATTTAATACGGGGTATTTATATACGGCCTATTTTGCCCTAAACAGTAAAATTCGTAAATTCAAAGATACGCTAATTCAATTGATTTCTCATATCGCTGATTATTTATTTTTGATTTTGATTTTTTGATTTTGTATATATAATGTCTTCAGATTTTTTCGGACAGAAGTGGGGACCTAACTTGGCAGAATTTACCAGAAGGTTTTTACCGGAATCCACTGCTGGAGAGGGGCCACACTGGCTGAAGAACCTGTACTTTGTGTATCTCGTTGAAATGAGAGCCATAACTAAGGTTAGTGGTACTAAGTTTCTTTCTAGAAGCTTCTAGAAAGAAACTTCCAGAAGTTTTGTATGTTGAGGTTAGTGCTCTGTTGACTTGTTGACTTGTTGACTTGTTGACTTGTTGACTTGTTGACTTGTTGACTTGTTGACTTGTTGACTTGTTAACTTGTTGACTTGTTGACTTGTTGACTTGTTGACTTGTTGACTTGTTGACTTGTGAAAAGATGCCCATAAAATACTTACAATCATCATAATCATATATCACGTGACCACTTACTGCCCTCATCACGTGACATAATTAGCATAATTAGCATTAATTAACTCCTAATAACACACCAGGCTCTGCCGCTGTGGAAAAGGTGGGATTTCCATACGGGTAAGCCGGAGGAGGATATCAAGACTAAAGAAAATACTATCAGTATTGTTGAGGGGCTGCTCTCATGTCCTGATACTTTCGACGAGGAACAGCTTTTCAAAGGTGGGGTGATTGGGTAATTGTGGAATAATTGGTAATTTGGTAATTGTGGAATAATTGGTAATTGTGGAATAATTGGTAATTGGGTAATTATGGAATACTTGGTAATTGGGTAATTGTGGAATAATTGGTGATTGGGTGATTGTGGGACTGTGATAATTAAAAATGCAAATATGGCGGAAAATTTTTGTCAACTTATCTCCCAGAAAAACAAATTGTCGTCAATGGCGAAAATGTCAGTGATTCCCTTGTTATAATTTAACTTAATTTAATGTTGAATTATGATAATTACAGGCCCAGCTGCCGAGGAGATCCTGAATGAATTTCTGGTTCATTTCCGGAACATATCCCAGATAATGGACTGTGTAACATGTGACAAGTGCAGATTATGGGGCAAAATACAGGTATGTTCAATGATCAATTACCACATCTCATGACGATTAAAAAATTGAAACTTTTCAAAGCATATTGTTTCCTCCATTAATAAATTCACTGGATATGACTGACCAATATTCAATAATTTCGCTTCGCAGATACGAGGTCTGGGAACTGCACTTAAGATCTTATTTAGCGGAGGGAAACCTGAGAATCTTAATTTGGAGAGGGGAGAAGTTGTGACTCTGTTCAACGCTTTTAATCAGTTAGTTTAATTATATTCTTTTTTAATTTGTTTTGCCATTAATTTGTTAATTTATACCGAGACACTAAATGATATTAATTAAAATCAGGACCCATGTAATATGTTTTGCCACTTAAGTTTGTTCGCTATTTGCCAGAAAAATTTAATTTACCGAGATTGTCAGTGACATTAAAATTTGTTGTTAAAAATGTTAACAATGCAATGCAAACAAATAACAATGTTAATAACATCACGTGACCCCAGGTTATCCCACTCTTTACACTACGTCAAAGTGTTCAAGGATCAGATGGACTACAAAGAGGAAGCAGGACCACCCGAGGAATCGGACAGGAAACAGGAAAACTTATTTAATACCTTTACTCGTGGGGAACTGTGACGTCACGTGAGATTGTGACGTCACGAGAGATGGTGACGTCATATCGGGCTGAGAAGTGTGACGTCACATGATATCATCAGATGTGTGACGTCACGTTAAACACAGTACTGCACACCGTGACCCAGAGTTATTTGAACTGTTTACTAACGACCTGAAATCTAGATAAATAATATGGGGCAAAGATGGAAGATTGAATTGTTCTGTTAAGATCTGTTTGATTAGCATTTATTTGTTAGAGCTAAACACATAGGCTGATAGTTGATTTAGGGTTTTAGTTTCTGGATCAATCAATCATGTTTTCTTATTCATGACCTACTAAAATGTAATTGGTGCAGTAAAACATAAAACTGCTGCACGGTTTCGTATTTAGGTTAAAATTTCCCAGTCTTTATGCATTCAGCTGGTTAGTTTTATAGGTTACAATAATAAAAATAAATTATGTAAATGTTGATAGCTTTTGTTTTTTGTTATAAGTTTTTGCCAGACTTGTCACACGTTTTTTCTAAGTTATTGTCTCGTTTTAGTTTGAGTATTTCATTGCAAAGTTTTAACGATTTACTATGAAACAAAGGATTTTTCTTTATTCTAGCAAAAATAATCAAGAAACGGGTGATATAATATTCATTCGAATTAATAACATCGTCGATGAGTTTCGCGCGTTATTTACCTAGCTTCTCAGTTCGGCGGGGCCCAATAGCGCATCTCGCCGATCTAACGAAGATGTGGTTGCGAGAAGCATTTGCATTATTTGATGCGCGGCCCAGGTCTTACCTGAGGACCCCAGGCTATTATGTTCATTAATAATTAATGAATAAAGATTTGGCGGAATGACAGGCTGAGCGCGGCCCAGTAACCCAGGTCCAGTAACGCATCTCGCTAAATACATTGTATGTTTACAAACTACCAGGACGCGCGCCGAGTTGGACTCGTCGACGGTATGGAATAGATATTTTACGAGTATCACCCGTTAATAAATACATGGTTTGTCATTAATTGTAGGTTTAAAACCTACCAAGACGCGGCGAATGGCGACGCGCGCGCCGGTCTTTAATATTTGAAACGAATATTATATTTCTGCAATTTCACGAGTCGTCGAGTATCACCCGGTAATGGGTAAAACATTAAGTCCCAGCAAATCCTACCGGCTGGGGTCTATCTCCAAAAGTAAAATTAAAATAGTTATAGAACAGTAGTATATCAGGGTTGAATCTCACCCCGAAACAGTATATATTCTGCTCGACCTTCTGATTGGTTTAAAACCGTCACGTGAGCTGCAGAACAGTGTCTAGTTGGCTGTTGAAACCTGTCACGTGACCAAGGAGCATATCACGTGGGTCAAAAAGCTGTGTCTGATTGGTTGAGTTTCTCCTAAAGATTTCTCTTTGCAAGGAAAAGTGAGAGATGAGACAACTAGCTCAACAGACGAGCACTTTAATAAGTAAGAGACCAATGCTTATATCTTTTATTTTACAGTTACACTCACATCACACGCAAATTCACATTTAGTTTCACAAGCATGGGAGCTCACCTGGTCCAACGAGCTTGGTATTTATAATCACTTATACTGCACTCTCATGCGGCTTCTATATTAATATAGAAAGTGATACAGTGTCACATGCAACTATAAGTATAATGTTTGGATCGGTTTCTCCTAAAAGTTTCTCTTTGCAAGGAAAAGTGAGAGATGATACCAAAACCTCTTTGTATGTTCTAATTGTACAGTTGTTCAATTTATGGCATTGTTTTATCTGACGTCTAATTCATTTAGTCAAATCATACACCTGTTTCATTACATGGAGACAGTGGCACACTATGATAATCACGACTTGTAGCAACTTAAATCACAAATTTACATTCACTACACTTTAAATAATGTGATGGCCCATTGGCCCTCATCCCATGACACAATATAATAATTTCAGTCCTTGCACAATAAAAGGTAATTAACAAGTAACAATGACAGCCGACCGTGTGCACTGTCGGCAGGTGTGGTAGAACAAAGAATGTCAATGTAAAATAATCTCGAAATTTATCCCTTTTGAGTCCAGGACCAGTCCCACATTTTTGTAATATTGTAACCCTACGAATATACTAGCTAAAATTCTGTGTCTTCTTCGATTTTTCGTTCAAGGTCCTACCGTTCGCTTTCTCGTCACGATTGACAATCTTTTATGCAGGACACTCGTGGAACCTAAAATTATCATACATTAAATATTATTGCACAGAACGCGCGCGCAATTGCGCGTTCCGCGCGAACTGATAACATTAGCATACTTTTACTGTACGCAAGGAGGAAAATCTAGCAGTAGAAAACTGCCACACAATTTTAGGTAAAAATTCCACGTAACTTTGATAATTTGTTAATATCGAAGTTTGAAACATTAAATTAGTCAATGCAAAACTTAGACAAACCTACAAAATCGGCGACAGAGAGCCTACGGATACCGATTCTGTATTCCCCTACGTGGCGAACATGCTCCATGTGGATACTGATGTTCCGCGTCTGCCAACCATTCCGTTGCCACAAAGGATATCGGACTGGGGTACTCTTTTCTAAAGTTGACCTCCACTCATTGTGTGAGTCCCTTGGCCATTTCTTGATTTGTATTAGAGGGCATCTGAGGTTTATCAAATACTCAGAATAAGAAATAGTAACTCGAAAGAAATAGTAACTCGACATATAAGAATACCATAAAACATGTATTACTATTGACCAAATAAATCAATATTCTAATATCTTACCTATATCTAAAACGTTCTGGGTGAATGGCTAATCTTTAACATGCCCAAGTTATGTGACACCGGCCAAATATCAAGACTAAACCATCAATGTTTTGAGCTGGGAACAGCTTCACCAGGTCACATGTCTCTTTGAAAACAAGTGAAAGTTGTCTGTTTGAAAGCGAGTCTGATGCCAGGCACTGAATTTTTTTGAAATTATGACAGTTAATAATAATAATTGGTAATAATAATAATTATTTGCCAATAATAGATAATAATTAATAATTGATGATTAAACGCTAGCGGATTAACGTACGTTTTGGTGACATCCACCTCCAGCTCAATATTGAGTTGTTGTTTGCTGATGTTTATCCCGTAACAGGAGGGGTGTCGGGGTACTGCTCAAGGAACCCGGAAAGTCTAATTTTAAATTTTCCAGAGTCTCAATTTTTCAATTCCTGTCGGTACCAGGTTTTGTATTCTAACTCAATGAAACACCATCCTAAGCTCAAGCCCCTGAGTAAGTATAATGTTAGATAGGTATAATATTAAATAATGATATGAAAACAATATAATAACACAATAAAATACCAGGGGCTAAAGTTTTTAATTGTGAATTCTGAAACTTGAGTTAAATTTATTGAGTTTTGAAGCAATATGCCTGACATCACTTATTTAAATATATCAGCGCAATGTTTGACATAATATCTTGTCAAATTTACGTGGTAAAGTAATGTTATAGACTATAGTGTACTGTTAGAAGTTACAGTAACGTGGTAAAGTAAGTAATGTTCACTCTTTTTGTGTATTTGAGTACTTACAAAGCTGGATACAGACTACACAGCATGATAATAGCAAATAATAGCAAATAATAGCAAATAATAGCAAATAATAGAAACATACTTTAATAGAAATTAATAGCAATAAATAGCAATAAATAGCAATAAATAGCAATAAATAGCAATTAATAGCAATTAATAGTAAATTATAGCAAATTATAGCAAATAATAGCAAATAATAGCAATACAATGTAAGCGGGGTTAGATAAATTGATACCTTTTTTTAAAGCAAAACCAATAAAACTTTTTTGAAAATGGTCGCAGCAGTGTGTTGGAGTGAACTTTGATAAAAGTTTTATACAACAATGAATAATTAAACATTATATTAATAAACTGCTATATAAGAGGTTAAATGGTGCTGTAAAGGATGCCACAAATCAGATCATAGGACTGTTAGCAGTGCACCCTACTGAGAAAATTAATAATATAAGGTATAATATAAGGTATTAAAATACATTAGAATGTACAGTAAAACCCTCATATTACCGTTGTTTTTGGGAAAAGATTTAACCCTGATGAATTGGTGTTGGCGGTAAATCAAGGTTTTAATTTTGGGTTAGACTTGAAGACAATATGTAAAAGAGTATGTGATAATTTTATCAGAATAAGCAATTGTACAAGCAGAGAAATTATTACTGCCCTTAGAGTGATGTTTTTGAGGGGCTTAAAATGAACAATTTTGGCTGATTTCATGGATGATTTTGAGGGCAAAAAATTGGGAAAAATGTAGAATTAGGGTCATTGAACACAATAAAACTGCAAAGTGGAAAATTTGAAAAAAGTATATCAGCACAATGTTAGACATAATATCTTTTCAAATTTACGTGGTAAAGTAATGTTATAGTGTACTGTTAGAAGTTACAGTAACGTGGTAAAGTAAGTAATGTTCACTCTTTTTGTGTATTTAAGTACTTACAAAGCTGGATACAGACTACACAGCATGATAATAGCAAATAATAGCAAATAATAGCAAATAATAGCAAATAATAGCAAATAATAGCAAATAATAGCAAATAATAGAAATATACAAGTGGTATACCGTTTGTTTGAACTAAAAAATGACAAAATCGTCACATCCGTCACTGTGAAATTGCCCTGAGGGGTTTTCAAGTGCTAAAGGCCACTGCTTATTGTTAACAGGTTGGCTGGATGAGAAGACCATGTGATCAAACTGTCACATGCAAAAATAAAACAGGAGAATCATCAATTGCACACGCCTCGCCCTCCTTCTATTGTGTCTGAATGAGGTGAAGACTGAGGGCCAGTGGGCCATTACATTACCAACATTGTTAAAGGTATAATGCACATAGTCACATGAATGTGATATTATTTGTGATTATTTGCAATTACACGCAAGCCAGTCAGTAATTCAGTTGGTCAGTCAGTTAAATGCAATTATTTACAATTTCTATATTATCAGTATGAACAACAAGGGTAATATTATCTTCATTACAGCAGGTAGAGTGGTGTCAGGTGTGATAAGCTCCCTAAATATTGTTGCAGACACTGTTATACAAATAAAATCCTACTATTGGTCTAGAAAAGACACGTCGATACGGGAAAGCAGATAAGTTGATTATTAAAGTATATGTAGCAATCTTATTAAATTGCTCCAAACACTTTTGACAGTTTCCTGCTGTATTATATAATTGAAGATTGTTGTCGCTAATACACATCCACTGAAATATTATGAGCCGAGTATTTTGCTCATTCTGTGACAAATCTTTTGCCAATAAATATAGTTTGGCCACACACAAAAGTCGGTATCATCAAGAAAACCGAGAATCACCCTCTACCATTTTGCCGTTCTCAGAAGCTACATCTGGAGTTACTGAAACTAAAATGGATTATCCTGCTTCCACAAACTCAGATGCTGATACAACATTATCTCAGGAAGACAGCTCTAACTCTGAGGAAACAAGTGATGATGAAATTTCAAAAGCAGAACCTAGTAATGAATCTGATTCTGTCCAGCGATACAAAGGCAAACAGAAAGGAGTAGAA